GAGCCGAGGCAAAAACCGAGAGATTGAAGAGGAAGAAGCAAGCCAAGGACCTACCCTCCACGGGCACGTCTCGTGTTCCATCAATCTGTCACATCCTGGCATCTGTGAACCTGCCCTGACTGAACACTTCTCCGACAGCGATCTTCACGATGCACTGGAGAACGGCACACAGCTGAAGCTACCAGATCTACCCTCACATTCTCAGAGTGTTGAGAGGGCAGTAAAGCTGACATCTGAAGCTTCTGCCATTGTGTATGGACTGGAATCAAGACATAGACACATTCTTGCAAAGGTTGCAAGCCACCAGATGAGACCCGCATTTGCTTCGAAGGGGTCTTATGCTGAAAGTTTTTATGACATTTGTGGCTAGATAATAGATGTTAGACATGCGTTTAAGACTACAAACATTTATTTCTCTGGTGTAATTGTGAAAACTTTGATTATCTTTGCCAATATTTGTGTTCTGCTTAGTAATTTGATAAATATTTCTGATTAACATGAATAATATTAGCAAATTATAGTGAACTATTTTTGAAAATGTTTCCTGAAAAATTGGTTTCATATAACAAGGTGAATTTTTTTTATTTTGTCATCTTACCATATGTGCTAAATATCTCAACCAGTCCAAATTTGATATCTTCAAAAAAGTGACCCAGCCTAATGCCCATGTCATTCTTCAAACTGTGTCGAAAATTTGGTTTGGTGACAATGTTTTGTTTGCTGTGGCTATGAAGAACATTGTGAAAATCAAACAGCCAGTTATAGTCATTGTTTTTGCACTGTGACAAAAAAACGCAACACGAGTAGGTACAGGGCTTAATGAAACACCCATGTTGTTTTATGATACCATCTTGATGAATTAAACAAACGTAGGCATCCGAGGCTTTGTTTTTGTCTTTCTTTGTCTTCCTGCCAGACCGACCGGTCTCATCACATCCTTTACCGGTCTCAAACCCGAAAGGTGGGGCCCAAACATGCCGCCTCGCCCATTCCTCCAGCCTATAAAAGGAGCGAGATTCCAGCTTTGACAGCAGAGCAAGCCGAGACACAGAACCAGGTGAGACTTTTTCCACTATGTCTAATGTGTTGGTGGCTTGGCTGCACTGAGCGCCTGGAATGACCATTTTAAGCCTTTTTGATCTCTCCTTTCTTCCAGCTGTTTCTTTTCCGATCCAGGAAGATCGCAGAGGAGTTAAAAATGAGTGACGGAAGTGAGTACCTGCAGAATTATGAGAAAGCAGAGGATATAAACTGCCCGACGCAGTATTAGCATCAGTATTGTCCAGTCAGTAACGTGTGCTTAAGATCTGTGAAATAAAGTCTGCATTCATGAAACTTCCTAATAATGTAGATTGAGCAATATTAGTGCGTATTCCAAAATACTGTGTTTAATCATCGCTTTTCCCTCTCATTTTTACAGAGAAGTGCGAGGTAAGCCAAATGAAATGTTTCACCAGGAAAATGTCAGAGTATGATGGCTGCAACATACAGGCACGCAACCCAGCAAATGAAAATTAAATATGTTCTTTCTTTTTCTTCCTCAGCAGAAGGACAAATGCCCTAAAGAGGTAAACAACACTTTCTCATCTCCTCACTTAACTGGCACGTTACACCTACAATTTGTACCTGAGCAGGGACTTTGATAGCATTATCCAACGAAGAAAGCTTACTTCTCACGCTAAAAGCAGCACGGGGCCAGTTATTCTGTCTGGAAGAAGTTAGCAATTATTTGCATTGCTGGCATTGACTCAGGCTTCTGTACTGCTTGCTTAATAGTTTAAATGATTGTTCATTCTGCTGGCAAACTTCGTCCATCTGGGAAGCGTGTAATGACTAGAGCCCCCTGATGGCGCTTTCTGGTACTACTATTGGGCATTCTTTGGAAGCTCAGCCCAGCTGCACTTATTCCTCAGTCTACTCCTCCACAGTATGCATGTTTGTAATGTGCTACTGGACTTACTGGTTTGCCACTATGGACAAAAATGTCTGCTAAATAAAAGTAAAGGTACTATTTTTAGTGCTTACAAAAAAACTTAGCAGTAAAGCCTGTAATCCTATAGTAATCCTCCATATCTCTTCCAGCAACACAAAGAAGAAGGAAAAGGGGTAAGGGATTCTTAACATCATATCACTGATCTGAGTTTTTTTTTTTTCCTTTTGTGAATATTGCACTCTATTGCTGATTTCCCTTTAAAGACCTGGAGGCTATAATTGTTCGTGTTAGAGAAGGAGACCCCTGTACCTACATGTGACAAACTTTGACTGATCTCTGTTCTTTTTTGGGGCATTTAGTGCCACCAAGGGAAACAGAAGACAGAATGCGGACAGGGGCACGGGCACGGACATGGGCACGGGCATGACCATGAGCACGGGCATGACCATGAGCATGGGCATGACCATGGGAAACACCATGGGAAAGACAAGGGATGCCATGGGAAAGACCAGGGGAACAGCCACTGTAAGAAGTGACACTGCACACACCAGCCGGATTCACAGCACAACTGCAATGATTGAAATGTGTTACAAGTTATATCAATAAAATCATTTTCAAACACACTGCGAGTCTGTGTTCTTCCTAAACCGACAGGAATTGTTCAGAGTCCAATTCAGGTTGATAAATCATTCTGTGCCGCAAACGCGACAATGCAAAATTGCTGGCTTGGGGAAAAATTCCAGCTTTGGGCCTAACGGAGTCTGGTGGGGGAATGCCGGATGCCTGGTACAGACGAGGCAGCCCAGACCTGCAGTTCACTTCTCACATGTCATCTTTCTGTCCTGACTTAATCCTAGGATGTTGATCAACCCACGTGCCCCAGCCTGGGATACTCGTAAGACAACAAAAACGGACAGACAGAAAAGCCAAACTGGCAGACTTATTAAAAAAACGTTTGTTTTTTTTTAACTAGAACATTTATTGCAGAAATTTAAAAAACACAATTTAAACAAAAAATGTCCTCGCAAATATAGAGCTTCTCTGCATTAGAGGCTAATTGTCACAACGGCTGGGACCCCTTCTGAAAACAGCATATTACTAGCAGTAACAGTAAGACTAATAGATAACCACTGCATTACTGCCCCCTACCGGTGAACAAAGAGAATAAATGTTTGCAATAAGCAAGGAAAAGTATACAGTCTGTTAGCTTTGATTGTTTAATAGTAGAAAACATATATTTGCACTTCTCTTGTTTTCATACTGGAAAACCCGCACTGTGCTTGCAAAAAGCAACTGGATTGATCTGATCGCTTTCCTTGCAGCAATCTTTCTAAAGATCTACGCAGAAGGCCAAAAAAATGAAGAAGGCACAATTATTGTGCTAAACCTGTTAGCCCACTACTCCGCGAGTGTTCGTCAGACTCATTACATCATGCCTGTTCCATAGGAGCTGATCACTGGAGGGCATGCCCAGATGTGGCGCTGCCAGGAGTCCCAGTATTCCCTGGGGTCCATGTGGCGCGGCTGTAACCTGTTCTCTGCTCTGTTGGCAGGTAGCTCTCAGCTCAGGAGTGAGCTCTCGCTCCCTGAAGCTGCAGTGCTATGTGGTGCTTTTACCTCCCTCATGCCAGAAGTAAAACAACATGGGACAGGAAAAAAAACACGTATTTGCATTTTCTGAGGGGCAAGTGTGAAGCCAGCCAATCAGAGCGAGCCGGTTTCACAACACGTACGACGCATCAGTTTTTCCTCTGCTGAACATGGGTGCAACACTGAAAGTGGACCAGCGCCACTTCAAGGCGCAGCAACATAAGTAACATTTTAAAATGAAGCACAAGATCCCTTTACACACACACACACACACACCGCGCGCGCACACACATTAAAAAATACATAGTTTCACTGAAGAGGTCACTGTATTTTGTAAACAGTAAATGCAAATTCAGCACCTTAAAAAACGATTTAGCCCTCTGCAGAAAAGTGCTCCTGTTTGTGGTACAGGAAAGTCACGTAACGGGAAACAATAAAATATGACCAGATGCACGTTCTTAATAAGAAAACCAATTCTGCTTTTTTGAAACAGGCAAAAAGAAAACAATTTGCTGTTATCCCTAGCATCATCAACTCATAACAATATATCCAATATGAATCCAACCACATATTCTGTTCATGAATTGAAATGATTAATGTTACACTTAACCATAAAGGTTTTTATACAGAGGTGTAAAGACACTATTTTACACCTGTTTGTATAATGTGGAAACTGACCACTGTGCTTCATGAGGAAAAAGCAGGGGAAGTCAGAGATTCAGGTCTTCAAATATTTTGAAAATCAGGATTTGGAAACTTGGGACCAAATTTCACAATGTGCTGCCATGGGTGAAAACTGAAAGGGAAAGCTTGCAAAACAATTCCAGTCTTAAGAAATTTCAGACATTTTAAAGGCAAGGGGCCAATTTATTTGGCCTGAAGACATAGAAGATATCTGAGAAGGAAGAAGAACGGGTACTGGAGGACTGGGTGTCTGATCACAGACAAAGCTGGCGAGACTAGTGACAATCCAGCCCAAACCATGATTCCAACCAAAAACTGTCAACAGAAATACTGAGTAAGATGAGAGAAATAGACCTGCAGCACCATACAGTCACCAGATAAAGCTGGAAGAAATGTCTTGAGCTGACTGCCAAACACACTGACTCTAGTGTTTTACCATGTTGTAGCTGCATTTCATTCACATACATTTTTAACCCTTTGCATCTGAACCTGTCTTTGTAATATGCTTTCTGCTCCGGACCGCACCGTTCAGCATTCACGCAGCTCAGAGCATTGCCCCATATACTCCAGTTGGGATCGTTCAGTAGGGGGAGGTTTCGCGGGACACTGGAGAATCTGACAGAATCCCACTTGATGTCCCAATTAGGGATCAAACAGATTCCAGATGTGCGTCCCGCCAACCCCAAGAATAAATAAATAAATAAAAACAGGGCTCGCTGATACACCTGCAGAGGCGTCTTCTGGAAAATTCTGCCTAATCTACAAGGTTAGCTCTAACACAACATGGAACTAGATGGAAAAGCCAAGCTTCTATATATGAATATATATGTCAAGTGCGTGTGAAGTAACACATGAGCCTTCATGAATGTCTCATACAAGTGAAATGTATACGGACAACAGGGAGTTGGGACAAATAGAAAAGGAATACATCATACAATGTGTATGCAACACTACTGCATTCAATCTTGCACACACCCGTATATCAGGTGCCCTGGTTACTGTTGCTAACTTTGCTTACAGAAGGTCACATGCCAATGTGACTTATTTAACTGAATCGGTGCTGAGGTGACTACTGTCGCTCTCGCATTTATGGCTTGTGTACCAGACGGACGCTTGTGTCTCGCCATCCCCTCTTATAACCTCTTGGTGTGCTTGGAGTTGTAGTGGCTTCTCATGTCCTTGCGGAGGCGGAACTTCTCCCCGCACACGCCACAGATGTACAGGTGCACGTCCATGTGCTGCTCCAGGTGCTCACTGCCCGGAAAGATCTGGAAGCACACCTGGCAAATGGTCTCCCCGGCCGACAGGTGGGAGATCATGTGCCGCACATGGTCGTGCTTAAGGAAGGTGCCCTGGTCGCAGACGGGGCAGACGTAGCGGGCCATGCCCTTGTGCATGTCGTTGTGCAGCCGCAGCTGCCGCTCACGCAGGAACTGCTTCCCGCAGGTCTGGCAGGCAAACTGCTTCTCCTTGGTGTGGACGGTGTAGTGCTCTCGCAGGTGGCAGCGCTGGAAAAAGCCCTTGCCACAGATGCCGCAGAAGTGCTTGCGCCGGTGGTCCCGATCGCCATCGTCCAGCAGTCCAGAGCGTAGCAGTTCCTGCTCCGGGCAGCGGGCCACATGCTCCAAGGCTTGCCGCTCGCTGCCCAGGTGCAGACCGCAGTGGGGGCAGCGGTAGGCCAGGCAGTTCTCGTCAGTGTCATCGGGGCACGTGGCACCCAGCTCACCCTCGAATGTGCCATCGGCCTCCAGCAGGCCCTCCTCCACAACCTGCCGCTCCTCAGACAGCGAGTCCTCACCCAGTGAATCCGTCTCGGCATCCTGGGGCTCGCCACAGCGCTCGGCGTGCTCCTGCAACTGCCGGCCCTTGACAAGGATCTGGCCACACTTGCCGCAGGCGCATATGTGGCCCATGTGGCTAGCGATGTAGTGAGCTGACTGGTCGTCCTCCGTCAGCAGCTCCCCACACAGCTCACAGGGCAGACACAGCCGGCCGTCCCTCTCCTCCTTGATACGTTTTGCCCGGGTGCCCGTACTCTTATCTTCGCTGGTGGACATGTGCGCCTCAAAAGTGTCATTACTGTCCTCCATGCTGACGGGCCCGACCACCCCATCTTGGTCGAAGGCACCTGGATCGGGGAGTGAGTCCCTGAAACGGTTGGCCAGTGAACTGCAGCCCTCCACACAGTTCTCATCAACCTGGACTACTTGTATGCCATCCATTTCCAGCTCAGGGCTATCTTCAGGCTCCATTTTGATGATGATGGTATTCCGGGCAGATTTGGGCTGGCTGTCAGCCCCCGTGCCAACAGACTTGATCACAGTCCCTTTGCTCAACACCTCCACATCAGACTTCTCAAGAGCTTCACCCTCCACCTTGCAGGAGTCCAAGTTCTCCTCCGAGCCCTCAGAGGAGGAGCTCTCTGCCTTGCTGCCGTCTGCCTCCAGGCCCTTGGCCCCCTTGGCTGCATGGAAGGTCTTGCGGTTGGTGCAGGTGAGGATGTGCTCAATGAGGAGCTTCTCACAGCTGAAGACAAAGCCACAGTCATCGCAGGTGTAGGTGCGCCCGAAGCGAGGCCGCTCCTTCATGGTGGCGCTCCTGCCTGATGGCTTCTTGCGCAGGTCACACGGCTGCTCCGCCATGGCCTCGGCCACAAGGGACAGGCTGAGGGGCAGCCCCGGTTCTTCCGTGGGCTTTGTTGCAGCCCCGCCAAGGCCACCCAAGGTCTGGAGGGACGACGCAGAGGCCGCGGCCTGTTGGAGGCGCTCTCCGTCAGTAGCCCCCTGGCGTTGCGGCTGCTGCTCATACATCCGCACTCCAAACATCATCCTCCTTCCAGGCAGAGCCAGGGCCGTGGAGGAGGACGATGAGGAAGAGGAGGAAGAGGACGATGACGACGACGAGGATGACGGGGCCAGGTTTGAATTGCGGATGTCCTTGAGGTCATCCAGAGAGTCTGGGATGTAGTACATCTGCAGGTAGACCATGGCAGCCTTGAGCTCATCAAATTCGTAGGAGCCCACAGCAATGCGGCCAAGGTACATGAGCTGAAGAATGAGGTCAAAGCATTCAGCGCTGATTTGCATGTTGCTGAGGTTTACTCGTGCCATGGCCTGCTGGTCTTTGATGAACATCATCCTAAAGTAGGAGCTGCAGGCTGCCAGCACAGCCTTGTGAGCCCTGAAGTAGATGTCCCCCACGGCGATGCAGCAGTCGCACAGGAAGCCCCACTCCCGCTGGTTGTTGAGCTGCTGCAGGACGTGCTCGCTGTGGCTCAGCCTCGTCATGGTGCCGTCAGCTTTGCTCACAGCCCTGGGATTTGGTGGCATGCCAAAGATGTGCAGAAGCCAGAAGAAAGAGCATTGGAAATAGTGAGCGACCATCCAATAGTTTTGTTTCAAGTAAAACAGCAACACTAAATAAATATCAAGTTGCTTTATGCATAGAACTTACATTTATTAAAATGAATAAACCATTTACACATTAGCTCTTCACACTGTGACTATAGACTGGTTTGACAGACAACTATTTTGGTCTGGGTTGCCATCTTTTCTGACTAAAATTAAACCCATACTCTAGTGGGGGGGGGGGGGTGTTTTTAGAGATGAATTGCAAAGTAACAACATGAGAAAAATGACAACTCTATGTATGAAACAAAAAAAAAATCCCATAGAGGTTCACAACCCCCTCCCCCCCCGTTTGCGTGCATGGTTGCACTCAACCCCCAACCCCCGCAAGCCTATCACTCAGCTCTGACAGCAAACACGTTTATTAATACGACTCCAGCCCAAAACCCAGCACCTTCCGCGCAGCTAAATGCTATTAAAATACGTGAACATAAAGCTGCGAATGAGAATTTACCGTCACGCAGCTTGCACTGTAAACCCCTCTCTCTTCTGCCTCCCAAAGCACAAGTGCGAATGTCAGTGCGTGAGCTGACTATTTTAGGCTCGACCCACCCAGCGGTTGCTAAGTCAAAGACTGCAGCTAGTCGGCTACCTCCGCCTCCACTCGCCACTCTTGCCATTTCGCATTCGGCTTTCTGAATTAGTTACCAGTCTAGTTAGAGGGGGACATAAAACGGGCTGCCCAGCGTAAAAGGTTAATGCGACGACGGCCATTCGTCGTGATGCATACAACACGCGTTAGCATGGGCTAATATGCTCGCTACAGCTAAGCTAAACAGGGCACTGGAGCAGTCTAACGGCCAGCGAAAACGCACCCGGCTAAGAGCCACATATGCCTTCACATTGAATATGAAAGCAGCGTGTGTTTTGAGAGGCATTTACACTAACAAACTTTGAATAATAGCAGCCTTTGACGGTTGTGCGATCCCCGTGACAGCATTACGGAGGGCGGGGATTCGCCTTCGTCCCGCCTACCTTCGTGCTCATTGGCTCCTTTCAGAGGTCGCTCACGCGGGCATCACGACTGTCAATCATACCGCACCAAAAAAAAAAAAAAAGTCATTAAAACTATGCTGTAAAATAACGCCCGTTCGGGCCTTAGCCGTCGTGAGCATCACCGTGAAACACGCTTCGGTGCGTGTATCCGACCGGGCGAAGTGAGAGCAGAAAGGAGGGGGCGTAATCGCATTGCTGTCCGGGCGACTGAGGTCTCACGCACTACCGCCCCCGCGCTACTTCCCGCATTCACGCTGAGAAAAAAAACACACACATTATACTGTACACAGGAATGATCCTCAAAAACTGGACAACTATTACGCACACGATTCTTACCGGCCGGAAGGTGAGTCTATGTAAAACACCGCCAACTCCAAACGGGGTGTATCTTGTCCGGGAGTTGTGCTTTTCCCCCTTGGTTTATCCCAGTAAAGTTGTGGCGAGAATAATCGCAAAGAGGCGAACCCCTCCTGCAGCACGGATGAAAGAACTTCCGCACAGCCGCTCTGTGAGCTGTATCACCGCACTGAGTCTGTCTAAACCAGATCCAGCCCCACTCACGCAAATCCAGCCCTCCCGCTGCTGTTTATAGCCGCCTGCTTATACAGTAGCCTACAGTACTGAATTTCCAAGCATCCCGAGCCGGTGGAACTAGCACTAATAAAACATCGGTGTATTCATTACTAAGTCAAACCATCTTTAATGTTGCGCGGATTATTACATTTTCACTTATTTTCTGAAGTCCAATATCGTATTCAATAAACGAAGGACTGAAATGTACATTGTTATGAAACGCATAGCAATTTTTACATTCACATTCATGTCATTTATGAACACCGTACACATGAGGCTATTTGTCTATTTTCTTGATCAAAAACAAAAGTTTGTACAAATATCCTGAACCGGTCCCACAGAATCAGTTCATGCAGTTGACGAAATCAGGGTTGCATGCTCAAAAAAGAAATTCCCAAAATGTTAAACTAATCTTATAAACCCTAACGGCAAATAAATTATGTGCAATCATATCTGATTTGAAATATGTCGCTCAATAATACATAATTCTTATAACGTTTGAGCTAGTTATTTAAGTCCACTAAAATATTCATTTCAAAATCCACGTTCGGTCTATTTTCAGGGTCACAAGTCAAAGGCAATTTCTGAAACCAGGCAACAACACGTGCCGGTTCTCCGCTAGATCACAATCTTTCAATAATACCTCCTTGTCAAAGTAATAACGCCTGATAAGTATTTTTGTTAACTACTTTGCCAAGGTCGGTTCCCTCTGATAAAATCCAGATGTAAATAAAATAATACTGATTTGCACTCATATTTTTATATCTGACAGCGGTTTGTTTATTTCAGCACAACTGAAATTTACGTTCCTGTGTACAGTATTAATACACGACTACAGTGAGGTCACGTGGTGCAAAAAATGATCTGTGTTCACCCTGGAAGAAGCGCGAGACTGCACGAGAACTTCCATGTAGCAACAAATACGAAATCAAAACCCATCTCTCGCGCATAGGTGGCAAGAAATAGTTTTCCATTGCAGGTAATAAATCGTCGTGCTTCATAGGTAGGTGCGCCATTTGCCTGCATGGATCCAGAACGCTTTGGCGGGGTCTGTCAGGGTTTATGATTTTAGCAATACACTGGATCCGAATGCAGACCTTTGAAAATGGATGTGCTGCCTTGAAATTAGTTAGGGTATCTTGCAATCTAGTTGTAATGCATGGTAGATCTTAGTAACGTGTTCCCTTACGGATGATGCATACCTCAATTTTCCGAGGCATTGCATGCAAAAATGCATTGTGTTGTGTTTTTTAAGTAAGAAAAACATCTAAGGCCATGTTATTGATGCATGCCAGTGACAAGTTTTGCATTGATGTGTGCCACCTACCATGTATCGGTGCGCTCCCAAATGAAAACGGAGAATGAAAGGTTGACGGCTGGTTTTAAAATCCAGGTGTCATTTTTCAGTCGAAGAGATATTAAACGCCGCATAACTACGTCTTTTATAAAAAGAGATACGTGACATGACTTTACATAAGCCTTTAAATAAGCTTTGAATAGATAAAATAACGAATTGTGAAAGATGCCAATCTTGCTCTCAGTTTTGTTTCATGGGACTGACAGAGGAAAAAAAATAGTAGATGGACAGTGTGATTATTTAATTGTCATATACTTACATTATAATTAACCCATTTATATATTAAATGCTTCTTGGTATAATTTTAAATTGTGCAGTTGGCAGTGGGTTCAATCATTATATGAGTGCACAAATTAAACACGTGTGCTGTTTCTGTATTAAACGTTTAAAAGCAAGATGACCAATATAATCGCTACTTTTAAATAAACTGGGTAGATTTTGAATTGCAGCTTTGTCCAGCTTCATGTGTTCATCATAGGTGTGGCCAGCAGAGGTCACCATCTACAACAAGTTATAGAAAAGTAACGTAACGTGTTTTGTCTGACAGGTCGAAGGTGCACCATGGAGGTATCCAGCCATAGCCTGTTTCTCCTCCAGCAGCTGAACATTCAGAGGGAGTTTGGCTTCCTGTGTGACTGCACTGTAGCCATTGGAAATGTCTACTTCAAGGCTCACCGTGCTGTCTTGGCTGCCTTTTCAAACTACTTCAAAATGATATTCATCCACCAGTCCAGGTCAGATTCCTACCAGAACGCTGAATCCCCAGCATGTGTTATAGAAATCAGATTGATAAAAAATAAACCAAGAAAGCCAAAACAGTTTTTACACCGTAACTTGATACTGAAGACAGTCTCACACCTCATAATGCTTCCAATTATATCAGAAACTATTTGACAGTTGAAATCGATTAAAATGTTTCAAAACATCATTTCAAAGCAGATAGTTAGATATTAATTTATGAACTAGCATCAGCTTTCATTAAAGTTCCTATTCAACAAAAATGAGAATTGTAATTTACCACTGAAAACGGCGTTTAACTTTTTTTCATTAACACTGGTGGATTGTGGAATCAGAACTTTGCATGTCTTTCACCCTAGTGAGTGCATTAAGATTCAGCCCACCGACATCCAGCCGGACATCTTCAGCTACTTGCTGCACATCATGTACACAGGGATGGGCCCCAAACAACAGGTGGACCAGAGCCGGCTGCAGGAGGGCATCAAATTTCTGCACGCCCACCAGCTGTGCCGCAGCACTGGCGAGGCCGGTCAGGATGCAGACGCTGCCAAGATGTCTAACCTCTACGGCATCCAGATCTCCTCCCAGTCGGCCACCAAGGAGCACCTGACCCTGAAGGACTGCCAGGTGCGCAGCCTGGAGGGGTCACGCCCCAACAGCCAGGCAGAGGGGCCCCAGACTCAAACCTCTGTAGCATCGGGTCCGGAAGGGGAATCCTGCGACCGGCGGCCCACGGATCTCCACTGTGCATCCTCCATGGGCTCCACGGAGGACAGCGAGGCTTGCGAGCTCCCTGTGAGGGTAAAGCAGGAGAAGATGGAGATGGAGGTGACCGGGAAGCCTCAAACTGGCTCCCCGTCCCTGGGCCAGGACAGCCCCGGCCTGGGACTCCTCAAGGAAAATCCGCGAGTGCTGTGCTGTCACTTCTGTGGGGAGCGCTGCAGCTCCCGCCAGGGTCTGCGAGAGCACCTCCTCACCCACAGCACCTCCAGTCTGCCCTTCAGCATGCCCGCTATCCTGGAGAACAGCCACCTGGGTGAGGTCGCCGGGGCTGGGGGGGAGGACCTGGAGGGCCCTGATGAGCGGCTCCCCCATCAGGGTTCCTTCTTGGTGGGGAAGAGCGCCGGTGGGCCCGAGCCACCGGACGTGGCCGGCCTGGAGGAGGCGCTGCAGCGGAGCGAGGCCCTTTCGGAGGAACTAGCGGCCGACCGGAAAAGCGGCACGAATTCACGGAAGCGGAAGATCGCGTGCGCCATCTGCAGCCTCCGCTTTACCCAGAAAAGCCAACTGCAGGAACACATGTACAGCCACACCGGCAAGCAGGCCCGGTACCACCGGTACAGCCGCCTCTGCAGCCAGTTCATCCAGGCCTCCCAGCACTTCTGCGAAAGCCCGGCCGAGTTCATGAGCGAGGAGGCCAACAGGGACACGCAGGACAACGTCAGCTCCTGCTACTCGCTCGACTCTGAGGTCTCCCAGGAGAGCATAGATACTGTTGTGGTCGAGTGAAAAAGACAGACATGCCTTCTTTTCAGAACCTTCTGCGATGTGATGGCAGCACCCACAGTTTGCTTTCCTGCAATAATGTGTTGTACTTTTTAGTATTCGTGAGTCTGGACATTATACAAGTGACAGTCATTACACTGTAAAATATTGCTGTAAAAGAGCTTGTAGACATATTTATTTCTTTTTCCATTTCTGACAGCCAGTTTTAATTTAAGGGACTGAGGCATCACATGCAAATGCATTGACAGCATATGGTCATATTTAAGTTATGTGCAGTATATAAAAACTATTCGTTTAGAGGATAACTCTCAAAAAGATTCGGCCGTTAAGCATTCTAGTGTGGTTAATTGGGCAAAGATTTTATCGCGAAATAATTTGGGGCGCAGTTAATTTATACATGAAATCCAAGACCACGCTATTGCAGTTTCAGGAGCGTATCAAGTTTCTTTTTGAGTTCTGAAAGCCTGCAGCACCATATTCAGATAACGACCCATTGCTGTAAAGTATTAAGTATTCTGGCATTACTTCGCTACGTATCACCGAAGCTCTTTCAGAAGCACACTAACCAACTTTACATATATGCAAAATCAGCACTGGAATGGAATTGCATTGTGAGAATATTACAGGCTGATCAGAGAGCTAGAACACATGCAAACGGCTAAATTCTCATAACCGTAATTATCTTACAGCGGCCGCTGGTAGGCAGATTCCCATTGGTAAAACGTGTAAATGCGCACTTTTAAATCCCACATATTTTCATTTTAAGGTGTGTGTTAATTTAAAAACCACGTAGTGCTCTGTCTATTCACAGTCTATATTCACTGTATGTAAATTATGCGTGCCCAAACGAATTATGGTAATTAAATACATATTTGGAGAAATAGGAACGCCAATCAAGCATAAGAATCGCCCTTCGATAAACTTATTTTTGTTACAATTCGTTGGCCTCATACAATTGTTGATATTGCTTTCCCTTTTGCACGGCGTTCGAGCTAAACTGATCACTGTATTTACGGGAATAGAGGTTCTCAAAATGTGTTCCTCTAACGACAGTACTGTATTCAGTGTAGCGGTTAGTGTGCATTCATTTTTAATACCGGTGTATCGTACACTCAGCATTCCATTTTCGTTTTACATTCTTACATTCAACCAGGCTGGAAAGTGATATTGAGCACAGGATAGTATCTTTCTTCACAGTAATGCAAAGTTGTACAATCAAGTTGGATATTGAAGCAGCACGAATTGAGTAAAAGCTAAAGTTTCTTTTTGGTTTATTTTTGCAATTTCTTTGAACCCAACCGTGTATGTGTTTTAAATCTGCTTGTGTTGACAAGAAAAAAAGTGAAAACACATGGTTGTATTTATGTATGACTCAACTGTGTAATTAACATTTTAAACGGAAATTATATTTTTGGCTGTGCAGAGCCTTTAATTTTGCCACGCGCCCTGTCTGTGTTCTTAATAGTTCGGAGTGCAGTAGAAATTCATTCCCGTCTTTTGAAACTTCATTAAGTCGCGTTCAAATGAAGATTATTTGAAAAATAAAGAAATTTGCAAATAAAGTTTTTTGTTTTTTTTTACAAAAAAATCACACATCACCACCCATCATAAGCAAAATAACAGAAGCTGTAGACAATTTTAATGTAAAACATTCAGCATTCATGCATATTTCATATAATATAGTTTGTTAGGAAGCAAGGGACAAATCTAAGGAGAAGAGAGTTTTTTATGACTGGATATTCTTATAAATTTATATGAGTGTTATTTACTTGGAGGAACATGCCGTAAAAGCCGACTCCGTCTGTGTAGTAATTCATGTCAACCACTAGATGGGGTGTTTAGGACGTGTTTTTCAGTCTCATATAGTTAAGCCTAGGTTTCAGAGCCGGGGGAGGCATGGTGATCTGGTGGTTAGCACTGTTGCTTTGCCCCCTCTAATACCTGGTTTCGAGACTCTGCACTGGCTCTGTACGGAGTTTACATGTTCTCCGCATGTAGTCGTTGGGTTTCCTCTGAGTACTCCACAGTACAAAAACAGGCTGAGGTTCATTGGAAATAGGGTTAAATAAACATGTGAGTGTGCTCTGCGATGGACACTTTCTTGCGTAGGTCTGAGAGGCTCTGCAACCCTTAACATAACGAACGATTTCAGAAAATAGATTATTTCGGAATCTTACGTAAGTTAACGCGAGGATCGGTTGCACAGCGTGTAAGATACGCAGACTGCCCGCATGGATTGCTATTCTCGTCTGCAGCGATGGCAGCGATGACGTAAAATCACAGCGCAAGCATATTCTTAAAGGAATCACGTGATCATCCGACGAAATAAAGGTTCATGTGTATTTAACAGTATACACAGCTGCAACAATCAATTAAAAGGAATGACAGATGTGAGCTCTACCCGTATTTTTCGTATGAAGCCAAGAGGATGTTATTACCAGCAGACATCTCTGTCAGACAGTAACACGTTCCTCATTGTTTCAGGTACTGATGCAGAAGGACTGAACCAATGCTACTTGGCAGCCCATAGTCTTCCTGGCCAGTACAGATGTCATTTAATGACTTTACCAGAGGTTCATCTCCACATGAAAGATGAAATAGTCAATATCCATATTTAGAATTTGTTGGATGCATTCCATTGAAATCTGGGACTGTTAAGCCCACAGGAGCCTGTGCTCCGTCTCTGTGACATGTTTACACTATGAATATGTCTATCCATAGAGATTACATCCATTCTAAATTCCTTTAAAAGATATGAGGTGTGTGTGTGTGTGTGTGTGTGTGATGTTATGGAGTTATAGAAACACTGACACTTATTTCCCAGATTCCATGTTGAAACTCTCACCCATATCCACCAGTTTTACATCACCACGTTTTCTAGAGGTGGAATGTTCAGGTTCAGAAAGTACCAATCCAGACCAAGATTTTGTTCCAACCAAGCAGTTGAGCATTAAGAGTCACAGTCACAGAATACTCAACTGGTTGGTTGAAACAAAATCTTGGTATGGATTTTTACTTTTTGGACCTGAACTTCCCACATTTTCCATTAAGTGCTTTCAAATGGAGAAACCTTATCTAAAAAACAATTTACATTTAACATGTAGATTTTTATTTCACCAAATATTCCTGTTATTCGTTTAAATAACAAATAGGTTCTGCATTCAACTTTTTACATTACATTTCTCTGTAACTAACATGTAGTTATTCATATGTAAAAAACATTACAAGAATATACAGACCAAATTACAAACACATCACTGTTAGGAAGTACTTAGAAATAACTTTATTAGGTATACCTAGCTAGTACCAGGGGCAACTACCAGAGGCAAGGTGTTTTTATCTGGAGGACTGCTGCTGAATGAATATTTTTGTTTATTGCAGTTCTCTGTAAACTCCAGACACTGCAGTATGTGAAAATCCCAGGAAAATAACTGTATCTGTAACTGTAAATAAATGTCCAGCACCATCAATCAAACTTAAAGCCTGCATCTTAACCCTTCTAATGCTTAGCCAAACAGTAAATGAAACTCTTGACCCTGTCATTGCACTGTATGTATACTTCTGTAGCCACATAATTTGAAGGACCCGGATGCTTATGTTAACGAGCAGGTGTACCTAATAAACTGACCACTGAGAATATAGTCATAGTGAAACTTAGTAAGAAAGGACATTTTTGGCATTTTTGACACTCTTCATTTGCAGTGCTTGTGGGCCACCTAACAAGAGTAATCCTGCACCAGTATTGAGTTACACTGCAGCTGTCACTGCAACTACTCCTACCACTACAATCTTCCGGCACATTCCTTTCAAAGCGTTACTAAATCGCCTACACCCTGGACACCTCAATACATGGCATAACAAGGGAAACACCTCAGGAAGCACAGTGCTCCATACTTACCACTGAACTCACCATCTGACAGTTCCACATAAATGCAAGCTCTACCTCTCATCAACATGGACACTGCAGTAAGCTTGTAAGGAATGGCAAATTTTGAACACCAGCCAGGCAAACAATGCCATTTGTTTTACAGAAACATTTCTCTCATGTTTGTTTACGTCACTAAAAGCTTAGGCTGAAATACACCAGGTGCTAAAAATAGGTCTAAGCGTGGGGAATGACCCATCAACCTTTTATTCACAATTAACTTCACATAAGATACAGGTTCACTTCTCCTGGAACATGGAATAACAGATCATCGTGAATCCTTCCCAGCAATTCATTAGCTTGAAAACGAAACCTACATAATCTCGTTTGACAGAAGCCATGTTCATGTACAGCAAATAAATGTTCACAGTACTGCCACTATAAAATGACAAAGGCTGCAAGGGGGATATTTCAATGCCTTGCATTAATTTCAGTCCTCATTTGGGTAACCAGTGGATTTTAACGGAATATAAAGGATTTATTTTGATCTCTTATAACGCTTCACAAGTTAAGTCTGACTGTTCTCTGTAGGGTTCAGCAGTAGTAGATGATCTTTTGAGGTATTTTTATATGCAGGAAAAGTCATGATGGGGTGAACTTTAAGGCTTAAGCCTGACTTTGGAGCTCTTGCATCTCCCTATGGATATTTGCCACACTGTCCTTCATCTCCTCCTTGAGCTGATTGAGGGCAGCCGTCATGGCTGCCTGAACCAAAGCACATGCAGTCTGCCTCAGCAGGATGTCATTGGGCTGGGGATGCAGGCCATCAATAGTGGGGTACAACTGGCCGCCATTGTTGATGCCTTGAAGGGTCTCCAAAGGAAACTTGTCAGTGCCATTTTGCAAAGTGTCACTGGTTTCATGAGAGATGATCACATGATCGCTTGCATTGTTTTTCACTGGAGAGTAATCCTGCATGGGTGATCCTATATTGCCGTGTGGTGCCGTTCCTTCAAGCACTTTCTCGTGTTCTACACCCTGTTCAGAACTTACATCTGTAAATTCACCAGTCATAGGTGAGCTGAGTTCCTCAGTCTGCAATGGCTCTTCCTGCAACTCAACACCTACATCAGCACATGCATTGGTAGATACAGTATCCACAACTACTGGCAATTCCTCCTGGGATTCACCACCAAGAAAATCATCCTTGGACTGCAGCACAGGACTGCTCTCTATAACTATACCTTTGCATAACTCTGCTCCGTCTTCTGCACATTTTGGAGATCCATCCTCATTTTGCTTCTGTCCTTCTACAGATGTTTGATCTTCAGGGTGGCTTGTACTTCCTCCTGAGATGTCTTGGTCTTCTTCAACCGTTGGTATCATGGCAGTCACTTCTGCACTTATGGTCAGAGTTTCAGAGCATGACCCTTTGATCTCTGTGTCCCCTTCTGTAAGGTTGCCCTCTTCACTGACTGGAGATGCATCCAGATACACTCCCTCTGTACATCTGTTAGAAAGCACTATATTTTCTTCCTCTATGTATTCATTGGTACCTACAAGCCTCTCCTGGAAGAAAGGAGAAGGTTTCTTTGCTTTACGTCTCAAGACACTGCTCAGTTTGTCCTTGAAGGAAAAATGAGGGGCCGTTGTGTCCACAGATGCAGAATGCTGTTTTTGTTCTGGCTGTCTCTCGTTTGACCTAGACTGATAGCTGGATGTACGCAGAAGCCTCTTTAAAGTCCCCCAAGCTGAGAATCTTCCTGTTCCTCTAACTGCAGAATTAGCAGGGATGTCAGAGGTACCCCTTTGAGTTACAGGGTCACCTGTGGTATCACCGTGAGCCACATTGCCCTTTGGCTGTGCATTGCAGGAGATGACATCACAAGGCTCCTCCTTCTTGTCTGACACTTTTCCCAGTTGTTCCCCTTTTCCTTTTAGGCAAAACAGAGATGGGAAGAAGCATCGTTTCCACCCCCATCTTTTCTTGTCCTGTCCAGCATTTAAGCACTCTTTTTTAGTTCCACTCTGGAATGCAGCAGGGCTTCCGTATGAACCGTCTGATGTTTTGTGAATCTCCTTTGTGCTTCCCATCTCTGGCGTCTCAGGATCTACAGAAGCAGCCTCTCCCTGCTTATTTCCTTGAACTTTGCTTTGACAATCTGGAGACTTGGAGCTCCTCTGGATCCCGTTGCTGTCACTAGTGTCTTTGTGTCCTCTGGTGTTCCTCACTTCACGGTGACCTTTGGACTTGGATTTGCCCAGCAGGAGCCTTGGAGGACCAGTTGGCTTCCTCTTCAGACCCACTTTTCCCTGATTATCTCCATCTGGAGACTCCAGGACAGACATGGTAGATTTGGTGTTCAGCACCAAAATAAGATATAACTGTATAAATATATCAATTTATAAGAGAGCTTTAAAATCTTATTGTGCAGTTGCCATGACACAAAACCAAAGCACTGTCTAGACATGGACCTTCCATTCAATTATGAAGTCAATTTTCATTTGTGATTACTTACAGCACCACAGAAAAAGCACTGACAAATCTGAAAAAGCAGAAAACAAATCATTATTACAACCAATTTCTGAAGAATGTAATACCATTTTAATGTTTCTCTTGTATACGATTAAATAAGTCATTTTATAATATAGTTGGAAACAAGAAAGAATCTACACCGGAATATCAAAATCATTCAAATCGACTAGATTGTGGACGCAGTTGTGCTTGTTTGATCTACACACAATTTAAGATATGCAATCAGTTAGTCCATCTAGGTAGGAATGAACGACATTTCTTAAGTCAACTAGCAATTACACATTTTTGACCCATAACGCCAACTCTATTTTTATACACACTGACTCATACTCTAATTAATTTTATGAGACATAAATAGCACTTATAATTTACATGGGTAGTATCCGACAGTCTTCACAGATTTTATTACATCAATGAATGTTATTTATATATTTCGTTAGGCAGTTTCCCATACTCAATATAATGTTCATGTACGATAGATACTCTTCGCTTTGTAAAACATATAGTAACTTAATATTCAACAACGAAACGTAATATGTGTTTGCATATTCTTATTATAACACATAAAATGCAGACATACACGTTTGGACATGGTAGTAAATGCTCAAAACTAATGCTTATCATATAAAATTAATCCTTGTTTTCTCGTTAACTTCCAAGTTCCGTAGCCTAAGAATATATTGAAAAATATCTTCACTTCTATCTTGGGTTTGCCTTCAACTGACATACGCAAAAAAATCCCAAAAACCATAAATTAGGGATTTCGTGAATCGCTTAATTGTTATTGCGGGCAACATAAATAAAAATCTTAATTATTTGGATGTTTTTACATAATATCACAGTACTTTCACATAACTACACATATTTACACCTATCCTTACCTTTTAAAACTTTGACAAGAACTGATTGCACATCGCTTGCAATGTGTGTTTTTATCGGTTTTAGAATACTGCTAATTACTCAATCAAAAATATAAATATTAATTTAAAAAGAGCAATATTTAACATTTGACATGCATAACAGAAATACGTTATACTTACGATCCTACGTAATTCCAAGGGTGCAGGAAGATGCAAAGCCGCCGCCTTCAAAGTTTATGCCGAAGCTACTGACACCGAGCGGCCGCGAGCCGTCCCGCTTCTGCAGCCGAGCGACTATCCGCGAGCCTTTAACTCGTCGCGCGGGAGAGGCGAGCTGGAAGGGAGGTGTCACGCTCAGTTTCCATGGAAACTCAACGGATTAACGGGTATTATGTGAAAATGTATCGTTCATGAGTGAAGGAGATGGCTGTATTTAAACCAGAATCACGTTAATTAATGTGAATTATACTCGGTGTGTTCTATCCGCTGAGAAAAATTGAGCCGTAGCTGACTTAATGACATGATTATAGGATAAATTAACGAAGGCTATTTGTCTTACCACACTAAAACGTCCATTACGCGTGTATCACACGCTTTACACCACAAAGATAATAAACTTATCTTATTTTGCAGCACTACTTGTCCTCTCTTGTAAAATAAGAGGTATTTAATTATGGAGGCTTTTCTTACGTGCAGGCTGCGGACAAAAGGCTGGTCCGTTGCTGGAGGCTGCTTTATGTCCGGAGGTACTGCTGCTGTTCGCAGTTCAAATTTGCCTCCGGCAAAACACAGAAAGCGGTTTTGAGTAGCAGCTGCGGAGGACGAAAGTATAACGAGCTGCTCCCCAGGTTCTGACAGGCCTAATTAAAGACATTTCATTTCTATGCCAAGACTTCCCATCTTCCACATTTAATCTGACAGCAGCTTTCACAACTAACCTGGTTACATTTGAGATTTGTAGAAGAACATCAATGTAGCAAAACGGATAGTCTGATAATTTTGTAGAAATTGCACAATGACATCACAGTGTTAGAAACGGATGATGGATTCCGACAAAACCTGACGCATTTCTTCCAGCAATATGTGTTCCTACAGATGGGTCATCTATCAAGGGCAGTCACGATCCAGATGCCCTTTTGACACCATACTCTGTTGTATGTTTGCTCCCACCACTTCCAAGAAGTCATCCGTCTGTGTTTGAGAAGAACCAAACCAGTACACACATCCGACCAGGAAACAGTTGACAGTTACCAGAAGGCAAGTGGTTGACAGATCCACATCGGAAACTGCTTATTTTGTATTAGCAACCGTGTCAAATTGTTCTTGTTTCCAATTTCAGGACTCGATATCTCAGACATATGAAGCCAAGACTGAACGACTTTGGTTCTGCCATGGTGCCTAAATAAATGTAAGTAGGCCAAAGCATTTGCTCTGGCTTTTTATTTGAATTTTTACTGCATTTGAAAATTGAATTTGCTCTCCATTAGGTTGCAAATTAGAATATGTCCCCCTTGAGGGGTTTTGACCTAATTTCTGGTCTCATAATATTGGTTCACGTAAGTCAAATTCTTTATGACTTTGCCATTGTCTGACCTCTGATTAGATGTCACTCAAGGGCTTCCAGATTCTCCAGGGAGTCTGGAGAGTGGAAGCCTTCAGTTTAGCTTGCTGGTCAAAGACCATGGGAAATTTGAGACTCTGAATTCAGTTCTGAGAGCAAGTGATTTAACTTCATTTGTGAGCATTGTAGCACCAGGTTTTCTTATTCTTGCCTTTTTTTTTTCCTTATTGCATTTATTAAAATGAACCCTCACCTGCATAAGTGATTGGAAAAGTCGAAGGACAGGTGGGTGGGTATCAGATGGTGAAAACGTACAGTACTATTCATAGTTACACTGAGTCACTATAGTAGGATTCTAGAGGGAAATTAGTATTAGTATTTAAACTTCAGGTTGCTGTGTTTTCTGTCCATCTGTCCTTGGCAAACAAGTAATTTTGGACTTAATCATGAATGGGTGGGGTTTAGGGGACAACGTAAAGGTACCATTGAGGGCCAGGAGCCTTTCTAGCACAGTGAGCTGGCATGAAGGTCATTTCTGCACATGGGAGACACCATTTGACATTAAGAAGCTAATTGCTCCTAACCACTACAGCATTGTGCCACATCTAAAAATAAATCGGCAGTGCATATCTGACTGGCCTCTGGTTAGAGGTGTGACTCCCAGTCAGAAACCCCTCCATACACTGCTTAATTGTCAATGAGATGTGGAATGGCTGTGTCAGTTATCGCCAATTTGGAAACCCTGCAAAATACACAGACTGCATAACACAAATTAACATTAAATTATGTGACATACATCTACTTCAAATCAATAAGCCTTTTTTTCAATTTGTGTAAATCAGTGTGTTTTAAATACAGCCTGACACTATGTTCTATCTGCTAGTTAGGGGACCAAGCCAAGGATCAAGGAAATCAAGCTGGGGGATCAGTGTTGGGGGGTGGGTGCTGTAAGAGATTCAGTATGGGGTTCAGCAGATCTCACTCAGGCACTGGATACACAGATTGGAAGCTTGGCAGGCATCGACACCCGGTGTTTCACAAGCTTGTTAACAGCGAGAAGTAGAGGGCAAGGCAGAAACGATGCAGACTGTTTTGGAATAAGAAAGTGAGAGGCTTGGTTTAGTCGTTTGCTATTTTAATAACCTTCACATTAGAGCATTGCACAGGTAGTGTTTATCGTGTTTTAGTTCAGCCTCTGTCACACATTTTGATTTGCACATGCAAAGATAACACACTTTAGGAACATTCAATCTTCACAGACAACATAAATATGAGGATCATAAGAACAGAGGAGTCAATTATAGGGGTTGTGTTGCAAGAATCTGCCGTGAAAGCTAAATGCTACATACCATCAGGTTCATTTTTTGCAAATTCTGGGAAGCTGGACACACCACTCAAGTAAATTGTCGGTGACGGATTGCTTACTTTGTTAGTGTGACCATATCCAGCTCTGAGTGAGAACGACCTCATCTCATAAATTTTTTTGAGTTTTATTGTTCCTCACATGGAGAGCTTCATCCTAAATATTACCCAACAGCAACAGAATACAGAAAGATCTCTGTCCCATCACTTAGCATGGCTGCTGACAGGTTCAATTCCCTGGGTGGCGTTAGGTTGACTTTTTCATGGCATTCTGTTTACCCCAGATTGCTGGAGTTATGACAAACAAGCAAGCAGGGTGCTGGCAGGATGACACACCAAATTGCTATGGTGACGCAAAACATCTACTCACCGCCTTGCCTCCGAATCGCCTTCTCTTCAAACCCCCATCTGTTTGATTATGCATTTAGCACAATTCCCACTATTCCAAATGCATCTCAACAATAGCAGAGATAAATCCTCATTGTCAGTCCTGTACTGAATGACAGGGGTCTAAAAATGACAGTACGCATTTCAGACAGGGAATGTAATTTGCGGGTTAAGGTCATGGCAAGGACAGATTTTTTTTTGTCCTCTTCACTGCAAACAAAGAAGCTCTGGCCAGTCAGATTAAGATTACATCTCCTGAGGCAACAAATAAACAGTGAGTGGTCCATAAAAAAAAACCTCAAAAAGGTTAGTACACAGACTCAGAAGCTACTGAGATTAATGGTGGCCCAAGGTTAGGAATAATAGATGATGGCTGGTTGTTTTCCTGTGTCTGAGTAAATTCAGCATGTGAGGGCAGGGACTGCACTAAGGGGGTACCAGGGGCAATATGTAGGATAAAAAGTATATGGGTGTTGAAGTCACATTGGTGTCCTTCGACACCAATAGGTATCTTTGCTTATAGTGGCATATTCTATGAAAAGCCAATGAAAAAAGGGACAAACTTGTATATCCAGTTCCAAAGGGCCCACAGTTTATTAGCATTTTGATATAAAAGACCAAACCAGAATTTTCAAATGTCTGTTTCAGTACAGTTCACAACAGTCAGTTCAGTCATTGGGCAAGTTGGCAGGAAGAGAGAACAAAGAGGCAGTTAATGAAAGGAACGGGTAAATTCTGCTACCGAATAACCAGGAGGGAGATCTGACAGTCTTGTAGTATAGGTTGAACTCAGAATGGTAACTGCTTTATAAGGAGAGGTGGTCCACTGGAGAAACGATGTTCCTACTTGTCCACCCCCCCCCTTTTGTTCCAGTTATTGAATGGGGCGTGGTCCATCACATCTTGGTAAAGTTCTACAGCACAGTGGTCTGGCCCTGTGTGGCAACTGGGAGAGAAAGAGGACAATCAAAATTGCCACCAAAAACTAGACAAAGATAACGGCAATGCAACACAATATTTAAGAACAAAGTCTTCCTCTACAGCTAGAAGTGGGATCAAACAATGTAAATGCTGCGACTTCAGGCTGATGCATACAAAATACAGATTTTTCCCAGAATACTGAACACAATAAGTTGAGATGACTGAAGTGTACAGATGAAGAATTCATGTTATTTTGTTAATAGATACATATTTCAGCCAAAGTGGAGAAATTGACTGGTTTCTTTTTTTTCCCCTCCTGAGCTTCACTTTGCTGTTGGATTCGAGACTGGGGCAGTAAGCGATGTAATAACAGCTTTCTTCCCCTTCCAGGAGTTCCGCTTTGCTGCCCTGTCCTGGCCTAAAACCACAGTGCAGATGGCTGGGGTGGCTCCTTACTGGTCTCCAGGTGAGTTCCTCTCAGAAGAGGCCGTCAACTTGCTCAGTCTCTGGATCCAGGTCAATGTCGTAGAAACAAGGTCTGGTGGGCAGCCCAGGCATAGTGCTCATCTGGAGTGAGAGTAAAAAGACATGTTCTGGCTGTATTCTGAGCCTGGCGGACTTGCTCAGTACTCTGGTTTTTGTGCCAGAAGAGCAGATCTGTATGACAGATGGAATGAATGGTAAAGAGAGCCCTGACTATCACACCAATGTAATTACCCAGTCTTTTGTGGAACTGTTTAGAAAAATGTAAATATAAAATGATGAATCAATATACAGTATAAAGAAAACACAGAGCCATTTTATCTCAATCTCACCTGGGTAGCCCCCATTAAATACTGTCAAACACAGATGGCAGTAACAGATTTTTGTGAAGCTATACTAGATAGGATGAGTATGTGCTGTCACAACAACAGTATGTTTAATCCACTACCTATTGCTTACTTTACTGGTTTCAGTCTGGTTAATCAGTTGATGACTGCACAGCACTCAGTAATCCCATCCACTATGCTTCTTCAGGGTCAGTGTACATTAGACACCACAAATAATACATATGCAGCACTCAGTGGTCTAATATTAGGGCTGTGCGATATCACGTCGCAATATAACTGAGATATGTGCCCATGCGCAATTATCACTAGGGTTATAGATAATGGGTGTAAAAATTTTGCGGGATACTTGCCTTTCGGTACTATACGGATGCTTACTTACACCCACAATTTGACTAACAGATTAGCAGCATGTCTAAAATATTAGTCAAAATAACAGCCAAAAGTTAGTAATCTGTATAAATTCGGCAAATCCTTTTGTATATTAAATTTGATTAGTAGAGCACGCCACATTGCTATTATTTTGGTAAATCACAGAAGCAATAACCAGATGAAGAAAGGGACAGCTTAGCAACATATTAAAAAAAAATATATAATATTGTGGATAAGAATATTGGTGATGGTGCTGTTCTTTTTGCAGTTTAAAATCCAACACATTTATTAAACATAAGGATATGCTGAATTTATATAGATTACTAACTTTTGGGCATCACAATATACCTCTCATTAATAATTTTATGCATATTACTAATTTACTTAATTATGGTCATAAGTACACCAGCAAATAGAATGAAAAACCGGCACCCAGACAAATTTTTACACCCATCTTCTAAAGCCCTGGTGATTATTGTGCATGTGTTATAAAATCGTGATGTGATATCATGCAGCCCTGAAGATGACACATTCCCCTCAACAGGACTGCTTCATGTTTCAAACAAAGCAAGATGAACATTTGCAAATAAAACGCCCACTGTTTGCTCACATGTTGACTGAACTGTATTATCAAGATCGTGAGGAAAGCTCATTACGCCGAACAATGACATCCCACGATACTCAGAGAGCTCAGTAAGCTGTTCTGCAACTTAATGATTGGTCTAATTTCACACATCTGAGCAAGTTTTCGATACACATAAATATCTACCATCTCCCTGACTGGCTGGCCATTACTGCCTCCTGCAGTTCTTACCGTGCCCACTAACGGGTAAAGAAAACCGGCTCCAACACTGGCTCGGATGTCTCGGATGGGCAGCACAAATCCAGTGGGGGCCCCCTTCTTCTCTGGGTCATGGGACAGTGACAAGTGGGTCTTTGCCATGCATATGGGCAAATTTCCAAATCCCTTTAGAAAGTAACAATAAAAAGCAAAACATGGACTTGAATTACACAGGACATTTATCATTTACATCATTTATGATTAAAACTGGCCAAGCTCTGAAGAATGTCACAGGGGAAGAGCCATCTATCAAGGTAGGAACACACTAATTAACCCAAAATCAGAGTTCACACAGAGGCTAGGCTGAGATATATTCAGCCTTCTCAGTGAGAGCCTAGGAGAAGTATGACATCCATAATGGTTGGGTCGTCACCTGCTTGGTGTACAGCTCCACTTTGTGCTGGGCTTCTGGAAGTAGCTCAACATCATCTGCACCATAGATTTTCTGTGCAATGATCCTGATCTTGTCAATGATGGGCAGCTGCAGATCACATACAGCATGTGAAATATGCATCTAATTTTTCAGGGACACTGCTTGTCAAACACTACATCTCACAGATCAGCTTCTGAAAGTGGTTTGAAATATACCAAGAAGGAAAAAAAAAACGCTGGACCTTTCATCAGCTAAGTGCCCCCCCCCCCCAAACCTCCTGTGAGAAATGCAGACAGGCATTTCTGGGATGTACATTTAGGATCCTTTTCAATCAATGAGGTAATATATCTTGTTTACGCCAGAGATGGGGATGGCAGATACCCCTTCACCATTATCGTGAGAATACAGCTTGTGAGAAACTCAAAGACACTGATTCTGCTTGATGGAATAAGTAAAAATGACACACGAGTCTCACTAAGAAACCTGCCCAGGAAGCAGAGCCTGGGTTCAGACTTACAGTTCTTTACCTCAACATCGTAAAGAAACTTGAAGTCACTAGGTGCTTCCGCTGCCCTCTGCACTGCCTTGGCCAAGGCCACCGCACCAGCGCCCCCTTCAGCCCAATGTGTGCAGCGCACTGCATCAAATGCCCCTGCTGCCTTGGCTAGGCTGCAGACCAGATCCAGCTCAGAGTCTGTGTCTGTCCTGACACCACAAGATGGAAAGATAAATGAAAATTAACTCCTATGTCCTCAACATTCCTGGACCTGCTGTAGTCATTTGAGGCACTCCATGGGAACAGCGAGTTGACTTGATGCAATTTAAGGTGACAGAACATTAAGAATTCATCATAAAAATAAGTCCCTGATCATGACATTTGATCATTTAATCGGAATACTCATGCAGCCCTGCAGTACAAACTATTTCTAAAGTAGGGTAGGTACTGCTGCTTAGCTTTAGCATAATCCTCAAGGGTACAGCAGCAGAACCAAATATTTTCACACAAACACAAAGGTTTTAAATAGTTCACTCACTTGAAGGTGTTGACGGCCACCACCACAGGAACCCCAAAGGTTTTGGCATTCTCTATCTGCTTCCTCAGGTTATTGCAGCCTTTTTCCAGCAACTCCAGGTTCTACATGGCAAGGCAGTCAATCACTTGACCTAATTTCATTAATGTAGTTTCTCTACATCTCGAGAGGCTTTTGTTCCAAGTGGGCAATTATAGTTATAAACATAACCGGTTCCTAAAAAGGGTCTCTATATATGGAAAACTGCCTGACTGGGCCACCAGTGTATCCTTACTCCAACTTTACCTGTATTAAGATAATAAACGAGATAGTGCAGAGGGCCATTGCTTTCCCAAATGCATTTATGCCGGTACACAAATACAATAGCAACTGGTCTATATAAAAAAAAACACACACACACACACACACACACACACACACACAGAAATATGCAACGCAACAACAATAACAGCACTGATGGCCAAATCTAGAGGTCAATCAGGTCCAGAAACAAAGAGGGAACTAAAGTATAAGCAAATGACCTCTTCAGTGTATTCTTTCGGCAAGGGAACACCAGCAGTGACCTGTGAAAGTGGAACACATGAGAAGGAATGTATGAAGAAAACATCAGTAGAATTGCTTACTAAGTTATGAGCAAAGAAAGTAAGAATAACCAGTTCAAAATGTCCCACCCTCAGCCCACCCCAGACATAGCACTCACTGTGGGTCCACCTCCATGCATTTTGAGTGCCCGCACTGTGGCAACCAGGACCACAACGTGCGGTCGCAGGCCTGAATACCGGCACTTGATGTCAAAGAACTTCTCCATACCGATATCAGCCCCAAACCCTGCCTCAGTCACTAGAAGGGAGAGTGGCATGCAGTGGCAGTCAAACAAACAGGCCGAGTGCCAGCGAGTGGAATGTCCTTAACATCAAACAACCATAACTGCCCCAGGAAGCACTTCAGGTGAAAAGGCAACATGCCTGTACATTTATGTTTCAGTACAAAGGAGAAAATAAAAGATGAAACTCTCTAAAATGCAACATACATACAGATGTATGTGCGTGTGCGCACGCATACACACACATACACACACACACACACACACAAAACACTAACACTAAACAACCTAATCCAATTTGCTCACCTACAAATCCTTCTGGGCCCACCAGTTTCAATGCTATTTTATCAGCCAGGATGGAGGAGTTGCCGTGGGCGATGTTGGCGAAAGGGCCAGCATGTACGAACACCGGGTTCCCCTAGGTAGTTGGGCGGAGGTTTGCAATTTAGCATTCAGACAAGGGTGAAAGGGTCACTCTTTAAAAAGAAAAGCACGGCAGGCATAATCATAACATCCATCGGCAACCTGGCCAGTGAAACATAACCTTGAAAATACAAAAATAATTGAAAGCTTCATTTAACATCAAAAAGAAGGTAAACATGCAGCATGCATGAGATGAAAAGCAGGGTTTTGTAGGAGTGAAATGCATTTGCATGCTCAAGACATTTCTCTCTCGGTGCTGTATGTGGGTGGGTGTCTTTAATTACTTTAAGGCTGCGTATGCATGGCACACATGATTCAATCTAATTGTCAGTTTGGGAAACTGTTAACCCACTCCCACTGCACATCTGTTTGTTGAGCAAGGAAGCTGGGTCAGGAGACAGGAAAGCAAGGGAGTCTCTCCCAGTTCATTTTCTGCCCACTGCTTCCTACCTCCAATGTCTGCATCAGATTGGGCTTGATAGCGTCACGCATCAATACAGTCAGAGCGCCGCTCACACCCTGCAGGTTGAAGCAGCACCATTATGGAGTACATTAGGGAATACAGGCTTTCCTATACTCGTCACATACTGAGATGCCTCTCAACCACACTCTTTCAACACCCACCAGGTCCTCAGTTGTGATAGGCTCGCCACTTCGACTGGTGGCCACCACCATCTTGGCCAGGCGCTGCCGCATGTCCGCCATGTCGCTGGTCAACGCGAGGACAGCCATGATCTCACTGGCCACAGAGATGTCAAACTGGGTCTAGGGAAGTGGAAGCACAACTTTTAAACTGGGGAGGAATATCAGCTGGTGAGCAGGATGTGAGCAGGGTCTGCAAAACTTGGCCCCTCATGAAATTCATCCCTAGATTACAAGCTGTTAATAATCAAGATCACATCCCATCATCCAGGTGGACTGCTTACCGTCCTGGTGAAGCCCTTCTCTGTGGGAGACTGGCCAACAGTGATCTTTCTCAGGAAGCGATCATTGGTGTCCATCACTGGAAAATAATTTCAAATGAAATTAATTTGTAGCCATCAGACATGCCAGAAATATCATACACAATCAAAAAACAAAGAATATTTCACAAGTTCTTCTATATCTCAGGCAAATGATAGAACTGGTACCTCTTTGCCAGGTAACTGTGTCTGGGTTGATGTCCAGTCTCACAAAACGGGTCACCTCTTCCTCTGTCAGGGTGCTAGGGTCAGTCTTGTCAATTCCCAGCCTCTGGAAGAAAAATGCAAGGCATAAGTAGTGAATCCTGGCTCTCGTTTCAGCGGCTGATCTGCTATTCTCACACCACTGAGGATTCTGCATCAGCCCAGGGTTGAACATAGTTCACCTTCAGCCGGTTGACTTGGATGGGGGAGAACATCCTCTGGCCATCGTTCAGGGGAACCAGCCGATTGAACAGGGCCTACAGGACACGGAGAAAAAGATAAAGAACACTGAAAATGAACGAGAAGTAAGACTGTTGCGAATACGAGATCAGGATAATCTACAAGCATTACCAAAAATAACATCTACAAAGTTCTAGATTATCCAGAGCAGGTCCTCACCTTGTCAGACTGCGTGGCCTCATGGAACATGCGAGCGTCGATGGCGGCCGCCACCAGGTTATTAGCAGCTGTGATGGCGTGGATGTCACCAGTGAGGTGGAGGTTGAACTGGGTGGGGCGGCGGGCAGAAGACAACCGCAAATCAGTACCATACTACACCATCCCTTTATCACCTGAGTGCAGTCAAAACATTCCGTACCTCTTCCATAGGGATGACTTGGGAATAACCACCACCAGCAGCACCTCCTGTGGACAGAATTTCATCATGACCCACATTTAACAAAAACATATCAGCACCAGTCCAAAAAGTAAACATAAGTGGACATTGTATCATCTCCTGTTGTTGAATCAGACATCACGTTATCAAACAAACCTGTCAAGGATGCTGGCAGCTTACCTTTGATCCCAAAAGTGGGACCTTGTGAGGGCTGGCGGACACAAGCAAAGACATTTAGGTTGAGGTGCGCCCCCAGTGCCTGGACCAGCCCCACAGTGGTGGTGCTCTTCCCCTCACCCAGTGGGGTGGGTGTGATCCTGGAGAGAAACCAAAGCACAGCAAATAGTTGGAAGGCAAAATGCCGACACTCTATGAAAGCACCCTAAGGGGAGGCCAAATATGAACAATACTGCCCAACGTCTGGCCAAAAGAGGCTAGCAAAGGAAGCTGACCCAGTCACCACCAGGTATTTCCCATCAGCCTGCGTTTGCAGGCGCTTGATGGTGGACAGCTGCACTTTGGCTTTGGTCTTGCCATACATCTCGAGCTCATCAGAGAGAAGACCGATTTCCTGGGCGAGTTGATCGATGGGTTTAGGTGGACAGGAGCGAGAGATAGCAATGTCACTGCATGGACAGGACACAAACAGTGAGATTACTCAGAAGGTAGGACAGACTGTATTTCTATACTGAGACCAACTAATTGGTCCATGTTCATTGAGGAAAAAGGAAAGCTGGACCGATCGGAGAAGAGGTGCGGTATGTACCTCGGCACTGGATTCTGCAGGTTGAGTTTGTTGTAAGAGATGTTCCACTTCCCTGGCCGGTATGTCTGTAGGAAGCGCTTGGCACTCTCTACTGTGTTCTAATGTAAAAATAAGACCTCAGCTAGCAGTGGTATGAATGAATGGTCATAAGTGAGCTTTTAATAGACAAAACCATGGCAAAAAATTCTGTCACATTTACACCAACATTTAAGGAGCAAAACACTGAGCAGTGCAGAAAAATCAGACACCGTAGATTAAAACTATACTTGCTGCAAAGCATTATTACTCTACGCCAAAACATGCACTTGCTTGCAACAGATAGAACTGTGACCAGCTTCATCTTCTGCTGCTGGGAGCGGCATTCAAGCACTGACGAGGAGAATGGCCTTTTCTGTTACCAGGACAACACGGCAGGCCACTGCAGGCTAGTCATAGAAGGGAGAGGGCTGGAATACCTGCATAAGCATTGCAACAGTCATGGGGCCCACACCTCCTGGTACCGGGGTGATGAACCCTGCTCTATCTTTGGCAGAGGCGTAGTGGACATCTCCTGCCATCCGTTTTCCACTGGATTTGCTACTATCTGGAGGGGGGAAATCAAAGAGACAGTACAATACAGTAGATCTCAGTATAGATGCCCTCAGCAAAAAAAAACAAACAAACTCTGGTGTTTAGTCACACCTACCTGGCACATAGTTGATGCCACAGTCGATGACCACTGCACCCTTTTTTACCCACTCCCCCTTCACCATCTCTGCCTTGCCAGCTCCCACGACCAGGATGTCTGCCCTGCTCACCTAGGAAGAACAGTGGATTTCTGGATTTACAAACCACCACTCACATATGCCACTGTCCAGAAGTCAGTAGTGATGCTTTACCTCGGCTGCCAGATCAGTGGTCTTGGAGTGACAGGTGGTGACGGTGGCATGGTTCCACAGCAGTAGGTCATACATGGGCGCCCCCACAATCTTGCTGCGCCCAATCACCACTGCATTCTTCCCTACCACTGGCACACCTGGGCACAAGAAATGTCCTGCTATACCCCTCTAACACTCATTTACTACACACATTTGGAAAACAGGTTTTAGTAATGACAACCCTAAATTTTATTCTGTGGCATGTCTATACTACAGATGTATTTTCACACATAAGACTAAAGACATCAGGACATCTACTGCTTTGGAGACCGCATGACTGTCATTCATATCAGCAATGGCCCATAGGTCAGGTGCTTGTTCTCAGCCAACCCTGGCCCACTTGCCCCTTGCCTACCTGTCTGCCTGATGAGTTCCATGCAGCCCTGGGGGGTGCAGGGGATGAAACAGTCACCCAGATCCCCACGGGCCAGCTTCCCCGCATTTATACTGGTCAAACTGGAACACAAGAAAACAGAGACAAGGCTGGAATGAGATACAAATCTTGTCTATACTATGAATCTACATAGATTCAGAGGAATCCACTCCTATATCTTGTAACATAATTTCAGACAGCCATCAATCTGACTATTAATTTGGACTACTCAATCGAGAGACTGCCTACTGGACACCCTTACTAGTGGTTTGTCACTACGACCTTAAACCCATTCAGCCCTTGACAATCCACTCAAACGGAGTTTTAACAAATTTACACAAGATGTTGCTCCTCAACTTCAAAAGCACTATGATCATGTTTAAGGTTTCTAAAACGATGCACTGATAATCATTCAAATATCTTCTCATTTTATAAGCAAACATTCCATTCCAATTACTCCAAACAATCACTCCATGTCTTACTGAGAACAAGATGGGGTAGGCAAAGAGAAGCATTCCATTCTGCCTGTAATTGTATTTGTGCAAATGGCAAATAAAACATCATTTAATTCAATATTTTTCCATTTCATTTCAAACAGGAACTTCCCTAAAAAAGCAAAATACCGCCCATCCGGACAGAACAGACGCTTCGCTGCAGGACTCGTCAGCGGGTCCACTTAGAACCACCGTGCCCATCATCCAAAAGATCCAGGCTATCGCCATCTGCTCAGGATCCCCAGGTACAGTAAGGTCCAAAATGAATGGAGGTATTGCCAGGCCCAGATAGAGGCAAGGATTACAGAAGCGAACCTAGTGCAGTCCTTGAAAGCAACTCCTCTCAAAGGAGAGTGCACTCGAGAGCATCTGTCCACAAAGCTTGGCGCTCTGTCCTGTACAAGGCATCTGTAAAGCACATTTGGTGGTCTTTAGTCGCCGGAGGAGCTCACCCATCCACGTCTTTCTCTGGTGCCACAGCGTTGGTGACCTTTTCAGTGTTAATACGGTTGATGGAGTCCAGAGGCAACTGGACGATGAGACCATGCACATCTGGGTTCTTGTTCACTTCTGCAATGCTCCGCAGGACCTATGAGGTTTTAGTACAACAAATTTATTTTTGTATAGCGCGTTATCACAACATTACATCGTCTCAAAGCGCTTTACAGCATCCCCGCCCAAAGCCCCCAGTGAGTAAGCCATAGGCGACAGTGGCAAGGAAACCTTGGGAGGGACCAGACTCAAAGGGGGAGCCCATCCTCCAGGGGCCGGCAGGGAGAGTCAAATAGGAGAAATGGCTAAGTGCCAAGTCATACTGTCCAAATCATAAAATTTGAGACACAACCGGGGAGCAGGGGGAAGATGACAAGCTGGTGCCGACGCTCCATCCAATCGCCAGGCAACCAGAAGTAAGGCAGCAGGTCATACATGGAAGATGACACAGGCAGAACGGCGAGCTGGATGCAAGGACGTCATGGCTAGTGGCGATGTCACATGTAGCAAGGTGTGCTGGACATCTTGATAGGGGTTTGGTGTGGCCTTGGCCTGCTAAACACAAGTCTCTACTGTGGATCTCATTCAGAACTCACCTCATCCTCAGTAGTAGTTTTTGGCAGCCTCAAGTGATTGGCGTTGATTCCAATCTTCAGACAGGCAGACAAACAAAGAGCCAATCAGAACAGCTCACGAAATGCATTCTATAGTGTCCATAACGCTCAAGCTACAGAGGAGATGATGTCACTTGTATGTCAATGGCACTACTGCTTTGCTAATCAGTTTTACCTCGGCAGCAGCCTTCAACTTCATGCTGATGTACAGGTTAGAATCCTCCCTGTCCCCCACCTGAAAAATAGCACGAGTCAGTATTCTCAACAGGGCCTCCATGTGGGGGGGCCTCCAGTTCCAGGTCCCACCGATGTTCATCCGCTGCAGCTCCGTTTTTAAAAATGCAAGTCGGTGCAGTTTTTAAACAGGAAAGGAAATTTCAAACTGAAACAATAGTATCAAGCAGATGAAGACGCAGCTTTCAAAGTATAATTCTACTATGTCTATCCTAAACATAGAATAACTACAGTGGTTAGTAATCACCGTATCCCTAAAAATGTTCTCGTTCTCAATTTATCTGCCAAATAAATATACATACATGAAAAATGGAAGTCGTTATTGGCGGTCAGTACATTAAATTTAAAAATTCAAGGCCAGTCATACAGCTGATAAAATGCTAACTGCCATTAGCCCCGAAATTTACCTAGTAAACTTCAAGGTTAAGGTTATGCGTCTAATAGAACATTCTTTTGAATTATAGTATATATAGTGTCTTAATGTTGAAAAAGGTGTCAGTGTTGTGAGTGCTTCTCCATTATGAATAAAACAAGGTTATATTCCCCCCACAAAATGCAGTTGTTGAAATATTAACACAAGCAGAGATGAGTCTGGCCTTTCTGCCAGTGTTACACAAATTGGCATGTTAACTGCGCAACTCCTAACGTGGTGGAAGTGGCACTGATCTCCTTGTCAAGGCCAGGACAGGACGAAGCTGTCCAATTGCTTCGTCGGCAACTGCACCGGCATGCTGTTTCAGAGGTTATGCTGCAGGAAGGTCACACCTTGGAGCAGCGACATGTGTACAACCAGAACCTCATGTGAAATCCAACGGAAATGAGAATTACATAAAGTCTTACCTGCCATCACCCTGAAGAAGCACACAAGAAGGAAAAAAACACACATAAAGAGTTAAGATTTTCAGAAGAAGAGATGACAAACACAGTATACACATGAAGGACAAAATGAGCCCTTGTGGACATACCTGTAGCACTACAAGACCAGGACGGAAGCTTGGAAACTGCTTCTTCATCTCCGCCACATCCCTCTTCAGCCTCTCCCTCACCTGCCTGGAGACAGAAGAGTTCAGTCACGTTAGTCACGTTAGCAACAGCTGTCCTCAGTGGGCCTACCCACCAAGCAAGAACTGGAGGGGACTCTTACGCAGAGCTCCTCTTCCCCGACAGCACCGTGAACACGGCTCTCCTTTCCCCCACGATTCGGCACAGTTCACACAGCTTCAGGGCAGCCAAGGAAAACATGGTCTTTAGAGGGAGGGACGAGGGAGAAGGGGAAGGGAAAACAGAGAGGGAAGGCCTCAAGGAGGCCTCTTCTTCCTTCAACTAAGCACACCTTTTTTTCCACCCAAGAATAGCACAGTTAATGTTACTAGGCAATGCTGTGCCCAGCTAAACAATGTAGAAGTTCCTAAGTTTTACTGTCCAAGGCCTGTGTCTCAGTAGGTTAGCCAAATGGGGGGGGAGGGTGCCAGTAAGCTTCAGCTGGCTTCCATCTGGGTGTAGAAGCAGCCGACGCTGCCAGATTTGGGACACGCACAGATAAACAACAGAAGAGCTGTTAACCAGTAACCAATAAGGGGGCTGGTCTAAGAGGCATGGCTCTCTCAGCCAATCAGAAGCCAAGACCAATAAGAGTGAAAGAAACTTGGAACCTGGGAATATGCACCCCCCTTCTGCACAACTCTGTAAAAAAAAAAAAAAATATATGGCAGAATTCCAAAAAGCATAAGAAGCAGTTTTTTACGGTTCTTTCGGCAGTACCATAGCGCCTCACCCACACTTTCACAGAATCAGACCTCTATTTTTTAAGTCAGGAGGCTGACACATCTATGAGGTGAAGAAACAGGTTTCCACGTGCTGCTTGCATACATAATTAATGTCAGCGCAATTAATCTCAGGCGACCTCCTGAAACCCTCTAAATAGAAATGTTTCTCAACTATGTTATTTTCCAAGACAAAAGTTAAAAACACCACAGCACACTTTAAGGTGAAGGACATATACCCTTCTGACTGTTCCAGACAAATATGAAACAAAAGGACCTTTAGCACTCCTCAATCAGGATAACAAAGACCTTGTCTGTTAGTGGAGTATAACAGCGACCTTTGCATTCTGATTGAGGTAACCTGACTGAAAGTGTAACCTCTCTTCTGCAACAAATCAGTTTACCTATTACCTTTATATCAGCAGTCCTCATTGCATGTGTGAGTTCAGAAGAGCTAAGGTCAGGCACATAAGGGCATTTGTGGCAATGGATACTGGGATGTACATACTTAAAACAAGCACACACACATATGCTCCTATCCGGCATTAAGCAGGCGAACACACACAGCTGTGTGCCTCATTTTCTCGTCTGTTCTATCCATTCGCCTTCATTTGCCAGGAGACCTAGTCACGGGTGAAACCTGCCGCAAAGCCTGAGGGAAAAGCAGCTGATTGGGGACATCAAGGGCAGAATTAACTGAACAAGAGCGTCTTGTGATGGGCACGAGTTTAGGGTGGAACAGGGGGCCGAAGCAGGTTCATGGATAAGAAGGAATGCCAGGATTCTGTAGCAAGAGAAATAAGCAGTTTACACTGAAACAGACTAAAGTACATGTGTGCAGTGTGGTAATGAAGTAGGCAAGATTCCAGCAAGGTTTAGTGTATTAAATCAAACTAATGAATAAATGCATTAGAAAACAATGCCTTTCCCCTTCATAAGCAGGAGTACTTAAACATTTATATTATCTGTGCTCCCTGCAGGCACGTGGTGGTCCCATTCTGCAGGCCTACAGTGAGGACGACAAACTGGTGACTGACTGAAATTTCTCTGAGCTCCATCCAAACCGCCTATTGCTACATATACCTGAGACCAACTGTGCAGGTCAGACTAGAGATGGTGAGTTTAATAACTGGGAGGCACATTTTAGGAAGTCATGGTAAAGCAGCATTTAAACCCCCAGTTAGGTTACATTTTCAAACTACCCATATGACTGAAAATCAATTAAGATCACTGATACCTCTGAAAGATGGGTCTGTGTCTTAAATGTGATAGGACTGCTCTTTAACCTTTTCCCTCTTATTCACTGACCTGCAATTCAAGCTAAGGCCTTGGAGATGGAAAACTAAATGGACAAATTATAATTCCTATGTGTCCGTCAATTAAAGACACATCTGGACACCCACGGTTACCTACCAAGTCACCTTTAACTTTAATCTACCAAAATGAACTAGCTCAGTTAGCTTTTTCAAGGCAAAGGCGCATATTAAAAATTATTATCATATTCAAGTGACTTAATGATTATGGAATAACTCTCACTGACGTTTACAATCTCTGGGCGGTTATTAAGCACTTCAGCGGGTCATAAAATACAATCACATGCCGCCCGCTTATACGTATGTTTTTGTTCATGCAAGTTGCATATCTCAGTCATGAATGCCGAGAGGTTAAAGTTCAACGATAAGATTTCACTCCACATATTTATGTTATAAAAACCGGATTCACACATGACCGGCGACCTTAAACTGTAAGCTGTTACAGCCAGATCAAAACCCATCAGACATGTGCATCTTTTTTTGTCATATATACGTCCGTAATCGCGTCGGATCGCGGATTACGACACTGCCTGGTTAATGCAAATATAAAATATGCATGTTATTTTTAAAATATAAAACTTACAATGAGATTTCTTTCCCGTTGATAATCTGCGCAGACATCGTTAACTTTCGGGGTGGTCGACCGCTCTCAGTGGATTTCACTCTATCTCTGAACTTCGCTTCTAACCTTAACCCGGTTAGGAATCCGGTTCACTGTAAACTTTCGCGGCTTAGCACATGCTCTCTACGACATAAAAGAGTGTAACTGCGTTCATGAATGGCATTTCGCGTCTTCGTTTTCGTATCTTACGATAGGCGGGTCTGGCCTGTAAGCTTGCGGAACATTTGTCCAGCCTCACGTCAGTTTGATAAGCGTCCTGAAGTGGGCCAGCCAGAAGCGGCCAATCCTAATGCAGCTGAGAAACAAGAACCAGGCATTAATCGGCACTGTAAAATCCGTTTGCATTGTCACAGACACAAGAACTGAAAAATCGCTGCCCCAGTTGATGTAGAAGATAACTGAGGATACTAAATTTTAGGAGTTCAAATCGGTAGTATACCTAAGAAATCAGTTCACACTTACCTTGCTCGGCACACGCATGGATGTAATTTTAATAGAACCTTTAAGTATTTCAGATGTTCATGCAAAAAATCTTACAGCTGAACATAATTGAGCCCATTTATATTTATTTTTAAACGAAGACGCCTTGTACACTTTGCGGATCATTTTCTGGCGTCAGTGAGTTTAGACAGAAATACAGCAGAGGTTCGGCAACTTTCTCCAGGGACTCGCTCCCAGTGAAACCCGTACTTATACGTGTTTCCCACTAATTTCCCGTTAAAATCCAGATTTTTACGGCAAGGCAGATTTTTTTCATAGGACTTGTCTTCCTGTTCAGAACCAGCTTACAGTATTTCGGACACCGAACTTAATACTTGTAGCTTTGTTCCAGTGTAACATAAGAATAAATTCACCGATCCGCACCGGTTGGCTTAAACGTGCACAGTATCAATTCCTATTGTTCGCTGTGCTGAAGGGTACGATATACATTCCTGCTTCGGGGAGTGTAAACCCGGAACCGAGTCTGAGCCCGTCATCCTAGTAAGAAGTAGTTAACCCCTACTAAATATATACGTACACATATTTTGCACACATATGAATAACTACAGTTAAGCATGTTTTACATTCACTGTTGACCTCCATAATACAATTTTAGTATTTCTCATTCTCCAGACTGATGGCATTCATGTTATATCTTTCAGTTTAAAGTGCCGTCATGACATCTGCTGGCCATGAGTATAAATACAGGGAATATGCAATATTAGCCTTTAAGTGTGATTACTGTAAGTTGTGGTGTTAAAGCAATTCGTTTATGTGCTACTGTACATATTATCTTTCAGAGCAATGCAATTAATAACAGATCATGTAATATATGTGTTACAATGCAGTTAAATCAACATGTCACCGTAGGTTTGCGAAACCCAACCACCGCACCCCTACACAGCCAAACAAACAAACAAACAAACAAACAAACAAACAAAAAGGAACCATGAGGAGTCTAACAAAGGTAGAGATATAACTAGAACAGTAGCGATACTCCTTCCAGTATCGTCCTTTTATATTCAGTGTTAAATTTGTAAATGTACTTATTTATATTGATTTCTGTTTATTCTGCTTAAATTCTGTTCGTTTTATATTCTATTAATCTTTTTTCCTATATTTATATTAGGGATCGACCAATATGTTTTTTTTCCAGAACCGATACCGATTATTACTAAACAAAGAAACCGATAACTGAAACCAATATATTTCTGCTCTAAAATATGTATAATTTTAAGAACTTTTCACAATGAACTTAACTGAAAAAAATGCAGGGAACTGCCAGTAGAATTTTTCAAAATAAAGTAACAGGTAAAAGATAATTAAAATTACTCCCTGTGGTTTTATTAACTAAAAATGGTTAAAACAAAACACACACAAAAAACACTTTGGTTGACAATCTAGAATAGCATGTAATTTAAGTAGTTTAAGTATATTTTTAATTCTTAGAACTTTTCACAATGAACCTAACTGAAAAAAATGCAGGGAACTGCCAGCAGCATTTCTAAAAATAAACATGTAAACTAGAGTTGAGCCGGATACTCGGCTGAAACGAGTATCCGGTACGGATAAAGCACTTTTGACGAGTACGAGTATCATACGAGTAATACAAGTCAATATCTGTGCTCGGATTGAATAAAAATTCTCATTGGGTAGCTGACTGTGTCTGCGTTCTGTGATAGACTAGTCACAGCGCCCCTCCCCTACACACATACAGATTTATTGTGTTGCTGTGTCCCGCTCTGCTCACTCACACACAGAACACTGAGAAGAGAAGAGAACAGCGCTCTCTCTCTCTCTGTCGCTCCCTCAGTCACTCAGGATCGCGGGTTTTTTTCCGTTAACGTTTAGGGTTTCTTCAGCTTCAGGTTTGTTTGTAGAATGCGACTCGCGTCTCTGCCTGTCGGAGTTTTTTTTTTCTTTTTTAAACCGTCAGCTGGCTCTAGCCAGTTTTTTTTTTACTTCAGTGTCTGACACTTTCTTGCTGTATTTTATAAAAAAAAATAAAGGTAGTTGTGGTATAATTAATATTACAAATTAAGCTACACACACAAACACACACACACACACACACACACCCCCCCCTCTCTCTTTCTCTCTCTCTCTGTCTCTCTCTTACTCACTCACTCACTCACTCACACTCACACATACCTGGTGTGGAAATAAAAAAAATAAAAAAGAACCAAAAAAAAGAAATCACACTGATCATAAAAAAATTAAAAGTTAAAAAAAGAAAGTTATGTTGAGATGAAAACTCTTGTTCATTACATTTTACTTCATAATTGCAACCGCATGTGTTGTATTCATTGTTGCAAAACTTGTTCTGTATATAGTTCGTTTGTTATCGTGATCAAAACCACTGATCTGAAGCTCAATGCTGATGCTGTCATGTAAATAGTTTTCTAATCAGCAATAAATATAACAATTTCTGATCAACCCATATCAATTGCATGCTTAAAATAACAAACCGGTTAAAGCCCCACCCATTTAAAGACAACCCGACCCACTTCCAGGTCAAACCCCGCCCACTTCCGGGTTAGGCCCCGCCCATTCCGAGTACAGATACAGATACAGATAATTCATATGGTTAACAGATACGGATACAGATACAGATAATGCTGTACTCGCTCATCCCTAATGTAAACAAATGAATGAATAGAAAAATAAATAAAATTACTCCCTGACATGTTAAAAATGAGTAAAACTGAAAACAACATTTTGGAAGATAATGCACTTTTTAATTGCACTTTTTAACCTTTTGTGCATCCATCTGCATTGAGGGAAAGATGAGATTCAATTGGACCAATGAGTGACATAGGCCTACAGTATGTCTCATGATTAGACCTATATGTATTATTGGAAAAGGTTAGTATTAGGTTGGTTTTCATTGTTAACATGTTACAGATTAATGTCTGATATAGAGGAGACTGTCATGCATAATTCCTCACTACAACTACATTGCTAATGACTACAACTACATTGCTAATTGCTAATACTGTTGATATTTAGCATATAATAGCAGAGGTGAATTTAATTCCATTTATTATCTAATGCACATCGAAGGTTAAATCTATCAACTTGCACAAGTGTAAATAATGTAGATCTTCTTAATTCTAGAGCTGTTAAAGAAGTGACAGCAGTAATTTTAATGAAACTAACAGTATTACTGAGGTTGACTAGGTAGCTGTCATAATGGGGGATGTTAAACATTCACATGTACCTAACCTACCGTTACGTTTACCAGATGGTGAGAATTTTCCATATGTTTCAGTTACACTGGCACCAATTATGGCTGTAGTTTCTACTCAAAGATATGCTGTTGATTCTTCACATAAGCTGTAGGCTATTTGCCTATATCAATGATGTACATCAATCGGGAATTTTAACTGCGCAAGTGGGTGCATTAATAATGGATCTAAAGACATTTTAATGTAGTGTTTTTGCAAATTCAGTGTCGAGAATTGCGATTTATTGCAACTTCAGCAATGTACGCTAACTCCACTGAAGTCCAGTCTGTAACTGCCTTAGCGTTTGTGTCTCCGGCCAATTAGTGCATAGTGTTCTAGAATATATATATAATTTTATCAGTGGAAATGATGACCAATACAGATAACCATAAAAATGCTAAATATTGGCACCAATAATCGGTCAACCACTAATTCGTATCCTTCCTGAATTTTTTCTTTCGTGCACCGACAGGGTTAATCTTCCAATTTCATTGTACCTTGTGCAATGACAATAAAGACATTAATTTGTTCATATAAGACAAAACTGGGGGACAAGCAGGAATAACCAAAAGTAAAAAAACATGTAACCATACATAAGCAAGAAAATAAACAAGGTGTATAACGCAGGATGTATAGCACAAACAAAACAAAAATATCCAACAAGATGATGAAAGAAATGCTCAGTAGCAAAATCACCCACTTAGTCCATTCAGCCATATGCTGGGCCAGAGTGGGCCGGGGAGCAGGAGAACAAACAAGGAACAGACCTGGCAAACAATAGGAGAGAGGATGTCCAGTGGCACCTGCTGGCCAAATGGGGAGATGACAAACTGAATAGGTCAAGACGGGGGTTCTGGGTGAGACATTTTTAGAATGTTACACTCTGGGTCGTGTTAATGAGGTGGCTGTTTCAAGTCGACTGTTAAGTTAGGTGTAACTTTTTAAAGCCCCTGGTAATATATATAAGCTTTCTTTTTTGTTTCAACACTCAATCTGAGTTAATGATTCAGATTAAAGGTGAACGAAGGGTTCTATTATCTGAAATCTGTACATTGTGTACTTTCATACAAACTGGCAGTAGGCCTACAGTATTAACAAATGAATGTAAAATCTATATTCTGCCCTTTGGCTAAATGGTGGATGAATAGATTATACACCTCAAAGTCTTTAGTTAGCATCGGAGCCACAGCCCCATTACAATTTTGTTAATGAAAATGCTTCCCAAATAATTTTCACACCCTGTCCATGACATACTTCAGAAAAATGCTATGTTAAAAACAACCCAACCTGGGTTAACTAGGAACCCAGAGTTGGCTAAATATTGGACAGAACACATTCTAGGTTATTTTGACCCAGCCCCTTGGGTTATGCAATTTAACCAGGATGCTGGGTTCTTACAACTACTCAGCATTGGGTTATGCAATTTAACCAGGATGCTGGGTTCTCACAACAACCCAGCACTGGGTTAAATTTACCGTTGGTACAGGACTGTTCATTTAAGTCTTAATTTATTATTGAATACATTTTAATGCTATCTAATCACTTGACAAATACTAAATGTTGTTCTAAATATTTATTGATTTTGAGAGAATTAAGAATTACGTTTCTTAATATGCATATCTAGCGAACCAGAAGATTCAACTACAGTTCAGTGTCAGCCAATCAAGGCTTACAGGGTGGCCAGCTCTTATGCAGCTAGCGACACTCACGCTTTCAGACTCTCACGCTCAAGCAAGAAATCTTACGGCAAATACAGTATATATTATTCCATTATAATACTAGATATTTCATTGATCCCTGTGGGGAAATTCTCTTTACTCCTCCCCCAGCTTTTTCCGTCTAGGTGAGAGCAAGCTGGCTGTGAAGGGCAGCCACCTGTTGCGGTGCCCAAGGAGCTGGGGGTTAAGGGCCTTGCTCAATGACCTACAGATACACCAAGGCTAATCTTCTGATCAGAGACATAGCCCACTGAGCCAGATGCTAAACATAAAATTAGCTACTGCAAAAGTGTTGAGGTAGTTTGCAAACCCTACAGACTATTTAAAATGTAATAAAACCCTATAGGAAAAATAATACCACTGTATTTTTTTTTTATCTGCATTCTTAAATCCTGGTTTGATTCTGCTTCTGCTGCCAGAAGGCTACACTGCTTCCAGGCTCAAAGTTCCAGCGGGACACGGGAACAAGGTGAAGCAGGATATATGGCAACAACCAAAAACCAGCCAGGTGGAGGGCAGAATCAACTTTCTAATGCCAGAGATGACCGTCAATTTATCCAGCAGTGCCTCATAAATCGAAGGATGACCTTCATTAAGAACGGGAATCATTAAGTGGTGTGAAGCTTAACTGCACTGCTTCGACAGTTACAGGGTTTCCAACGTTGGACTTCTGTTATTTAAAGTTTTATTCCCTTTTAAATATTCTATATGGTTTGCAAACTACACCAACGCTTTACATGTAGCTAATTTTAGGTTTATAATGGAATAATATAGATTTGCTGTAAGTGTGTGTGTCACTTCAGATACGTGAGAGCTGGCAACCCTGGTAATATAGAAGCCCTTATAGACCCACGAAGCAAGGAAGAAGCCCATCATCAATGAGAAGTAGGTAAGTGCCAGGCTGCAGTTAGCAAAAGAAAATGTATATTTTACACAGACGCATTCCCATGGAGAAATGTGAAACTGAAAATGTTGTTATTATCTCTTAATTTTCCCAAGGCTGTACATGTACATGCGTGTGCTGATTTATCTCTGAAAATCTCACTCCAGCCAGCTGACCAGAGTTGGTATCCTGGGTTTATTCCACGATAATTACCCACAGAAAATACGTTATTTCCACATAGCTCACAATTAACTAGTTAGGTACAGCTAACGCTTTCAAAGAAAAATCCATAGACTCAGAGAAAATATAGGTAGCCCCCACCATTTCAGCGTTGTAGTTCTTTCTATTTTAAAATAATGTACGTGTGTTTTGACTCATGTTACAATCTCTTAAGTTTCAACAAGATATCACACAAATTTAAATGGCAATGCGGGCAGTACGCGTCCCTGTCCTCCAGTCTTTAAATACTGTTTCTCCGCAATCCGTCGATCCTAACAGTGGTTTCTGGAATAGTATAGAAAATCATCATTAGGACGGTAAACATACTTCACACAGACCTAAATAGGCCTATCTGTCATGTAGAATATACGTAAATTTATAACGTTAGTGAATCAGAAGAATAGCGATGTGGAATATGTCGACTTTGCCTTCCGCGTTCTTGTAGACATTTCTTGTGCAACATCTCCGTAACCTTTACAGACAACATGTCTGTATTTAGCCTCATATGCGTAACCACAACACAGGTCAGTGTCCGGCTGGCTGTTGTATAGCTCGGTGTGTGCGGATACCCTCACGATAAGAGCCGGGTGGACAGCGCCGGAGACGTGACTTGGTAGACTGGCCCTTTAAGAAAAGGACTCTCTCTACGTCCTGATATCATGGCGGATGGGAGCCGGTGTCGTGTGGTTACATCTGCTGGGACAGAGATGACCACTCTCGGACGGGCGCTTTCTCAGGTCTGTTTGAATCACGATCTTCACCCACAAGCGTGTACCACCCATCGGAGCAATGCACCGCAAGAGTGCCGCCGGAGGAGGCTGTCCAGCAGCGGCAGTGTCGTGTCTCTGGAGCGGTGTCCTGATGCTGAAGTGCGAGTTATGGTTATCAACACCGGCGGGACCATTGGCATGACATACCAAAATAACGGTAACAGAACCCCATTCCGCACATTCACAGCGTTTCCGTCTGTGTCTTACAGATGTCTAGCCTCTTAGAGACGTGTCAGAAAATACTTTAGGATCAGACTCTCTGTGATAACTTTTAGTCAACTTTATATCCTTATACAGTTTTCACCTTTCCCCATTCACAGTTGGAATAGCTATTCATCACTTAATACTGTTTCAGCTACGAAAAGCGCTGTCTTGTACTGAGGGGGAACTTTATAGCTAAAATGGTTAAAGGGGTTTTGCTGTCTAGGAAATTTTGTATTTAATCATAATTGTATTATGTTGCATTGTCGTTATTGCCTGAACCTGATGACGTAGGGTTTCTGGAGGAAATAACTGCATCATGATACACTGCATAATTTCACATTGAGGTACACTGTTTAATTACGACACTCCATTACTTTACACAACATTCCTATGCAGATTAGCTCGAACAATGTAACAATCAGAGGTGGAGAATTCAGGTCCAAAGAGTCCAGACCAAAATTTTGTTTCAACCAACCAGTTGAATACTTTGTGACTGTAACTCTATATACTAAACTGGTTAGTTGAAACAAAATCTTGGTCTGGATTTGTATCTCTGGACCCGAAACCTCCACCTCTGGTAAAAATTACGATGCAGTATATCATCGCTAATGTAACACGTGCTCCCACAATGCCTCGCGCGAAGCCGTTAGGTCGTTTTTGCGATGTGGAGTCTGTGGACAATTCAAGTGTCCTGATACACAAGATGAGGCAATCTGTAGTGATTCTGTTTCTTTGGAAAACCGGATAGGGTGTGTCCTGAGTATTTCAGACACAAAATGTTCCTGTTTTAACAAGGGCAGTTTAAATAGTTTAGCGATTGAGCAGTTAGACATGGACTGGATATTTTCAGGGTCAGATAATCCTGTGTAGGATTACTATCCAACCTAAAATGTTTCACTTTATATACTGTTGTATGTATATGTGGGAAACTGCAGAACTGTGCCACACAAACTGCAGCATTGTACACTAGTGCAGACAGGTTAATTTCTCATTCAAACAGATATGAGCATGGACACACGCCCTCACACAGACTTACTGTATATTCCCAAACTGGTCTCAGAGCTTTCTGTAATACCCCAACAATGGTCATACTTAGACATCAAATATAAGGTTTATACAGCCATAGAAAAAAATTAAGAGACCATTCTATATTTTTAAACAAATCTGCATTTTTAAATCCTGCTTTAATTGTGATTCTGCTGACAGAAAGTTACACTGAGCAGCAGGTTGCTTTCAGGTTCAACATTTCTAAGACAGCAGTTACTCAAAAATAAGGTGAAGCAGGAGACACTGGGAATGACCAGAAACCAGTCAGGTAAAAGGCAGAAGCAACCTTCTAATGCCGGAGATGACTGTTGACAGTTTCTCATGAATCGAAGGATGACATCCAGTGAACTTCAAAAGGAATAGGAAACATTACAAGCAGGTGTGAAGTGCAGTGCTAGGATAGTTTGTATCAGGCTCCTAGAAGCAGGACTGAGGTCCCATAAATGAAAAACACGGAATAACCAGAGTGCAGTTTGCAGAAAAATATATATTATTTTCAGACGCACATCCATAAATTGAGAAATGAGTGAAACAAAAAATTGTCCTGTGGCCCCTTAATTTTTTCTGTGGCACTACATATATACATATGTGTGTGTGTGTCTGTGTCTGTGTGTGCATGTATTCCCCAAAGAAAAGCAGGAAGACATTACTTATTTAACTTTAACCTCTAGCTGTTTGTTGATTAATTGCTGTTTAATGTCCAGTCTGCAGTTGTCTGTAAACACACTTCCAGCTTTGCCAACTCAGGGCCTCTTGGACATAGTGGGCATTTTTATTGGACACATCTACAAGGTCCTAAATTTAGAGTCAACCCTTACAGCCTATGCTTTTGACTTGCGTAAATTTCCATTGGCTAACCCCCCACCTATGTCCTATTCTAGTTCATCATGCCTGCCTTCTGTCAGGGTCATATACAGTTTGACCTTTGTTTGTAATCCACCAATCCATGAGGTAGCATCAGGAGGTGGATGAGAAATAATGCATTTCCCAGGTTTTGATTAAACGTGTTGTGCATGTCCCTTCCAATCTTCAGTGCTCTCTCCAGAGCCTAATGCCCTGGTCAAGGCGCTGCGCAGGTTCCACATACTGCATGACGAGCCGTATGCCCAGCAGACCTGCCTGTATGACTGCTACGGTCCCCCTGACAACACGCTGGTCCTCCCGTAAGTACACGCTGTCCCAAAAACAGCGGCCTGTTTGATATGTGTGTTTGCGATCAACATAGACTCACCATCTAACTGGCTTCTGACTACATCAATCTACAAACTCACATCCAAACATGCAGTGATAAAGCTGTATGCTCTCTGTATAAAAATATCTAGGTACTCTTTGACTTAAGGGGTTTAACTACTAACTTAAAGTACTGTGAGACCTGTTGGAGGAGTACATACTGATTATTGCTGATCTGATGTGAGTACATGGCCCTTTTCTTTGGAATCCAGCACAATTTAGTGCCATCATACATGCAGCTGCATATTAAACTTCACAAGAAAGTTAGGCTGATCCAGACTCCATTTACAGTACATCTCCCACAGCCGTTTAAACAGAAGGCCTCCAAATTCAGTGCCCCCCCACCCCCAGTAGCATCCCTGATGTTGAATCTGTAGAACAAAAATTCCACTGAATGACACCATCCTTGTGGGCAGTGTTCTCAGTACCCTTCTGTGATGTGGTGCAGGATGGTGCATTATGGAGGGAGATGCTTGAGGTTCCCTTGTGGTCAGTAAATCAACCCACTTATTGGGCATTTCAAGCTCATCTGCAGAGGATGCATGCAAAGTCTGTGCATCTGCAAGCCAAGTCTGCTGACAATGAATGAATAATATATAGACCTTCTTTCAAGACACCCAAAGCACTTTACAGAACTATTGGGGAGCCACTTTAGCCTCCACTGTGTAGCTCCTACCTGGTTGATCTGACAGCAGTCATTCTGCAACAGTATGCTCTACACACAGTTCCTCTTCCAGCTGCATTCCAGCTTCCTTAGTTGGTCTCCCATCCAAATATTGGCCCAGCCCAAACCTGCTTAGCACCCTATAATTACCTAGTGTGAACTGCAGCTGATATGGCTGCTGACAATGTGGTCTGTGTTGTGACGGTGAAGCACCCAGCTGTCCTAGGATGAAGGCCACCATCTTGGGCATGACATAAGAACATAAGAACATAAGAAATTTACAAACGAGAGGAGGCCATTCGGCCCATCAAGCTCATTTGGGGAGAACTTAACAGTGTGAGGAGTCTGAAGACCATGTGAAAGTAGAATGTTGGAGAAGAGGTCCACCTTTCTGGCTGTGTGATGTGTGGGAGAGTTGCAGAGTTGAAGCATGAGAGCTACAGTGTTTCATTTCGTGTTTTTGGAGCTGTGTTTAGATTCCCACAGCTACACTGACCCATCCTTCCTGCTGTAGAATTATCAGCAGTCATTCTGGTAGCATTTTTCCCTTAAAAAGCTTACATAACAAACTGAGTGCATTGATTGTTTCCGTTTTTCCAGTTGAACGAAGGTTTAAAAATTAACAGCTGCCAAGGTTAACTAGCTAGTTTTTTATTCCTGCAATATGTTGTCTGGTAAATCTATTTTCACTGGTGCTGAACCACCTTACTGTGAGAGATAACCACTGGCCTGTTTTTCATGCCATTGTTTTTTCGGAATCAGCATCTTGTAAACATGTGACAGTGCTGGGAAATGAGAATTCTCCAGTGGGTGCAACCGTGCCCTTTCTGCTTTGGGGCCTTGCTGTATACCAGTGAGCTCTGGTTTACTGCCAGATTGTCTGCCCACTGGTGTCCCCCTCACCCCCCGTGTGATGTATCATCTACCTGAATGTACCAGACTGGGTTTTTCTCCCCTTTATAGAGGGACTCCACCAAGCAGTACTGCACGTGTATCTGTTATGACATCTCAGCTTGCATTGCCCGCTCACACCCTCAAACTCTTCTAAGCTGGAAGCGTTAGCATTTGCGTGTGCCTGTGCGGTCTAAGCGCATAATGAAACCAAGGCTGTGACGTTACTTTGACGTGTGACATTTGAGCAGAACGGAGTGGGACTCGCCCTGACGAATGCCTGACATACTTCCAGCTTTGGCAATACAGGGAGCAGGGAGCAAACGGCACCTGTAGTACATGGAGGAAGGAGAACTACTCTGTACCGTGTCTAAGTGATAATGTCAGTCAGAATTGTTAATAAACAACATGAAAAAACTAACTGACAACAAATTGTGACATTGCTTGGTTGCATTTTTGTGGTTTGTTGCATAAATTTTCTATTATGACATCATGACCTTGCAACATTAACAGTGGTGTGTTAAGCTTGGTTCATACTTCACTTTCCTGCATATGGACTCTTGTTTACATAGTTCATTTGTCTGTAAACTGCCGGTCATGGTCAGGACATGTGTACGTCAGTGATATTCCACCGGACCAGGACAGGTCAGTTGTATAGCAACAAACACAAATCGAATACCAGCAGTGTAGTGAAATGGGTAAACTTTTCTGAACAACTTTAAAGTTGCTACTAGGCTTGGGTGGTATTAAGGTAATATGGAATGCCACAGTATTTTTAAATCAACAAAATTAGCCCCCCCCCCACACACACACACACACACACACACACACATACAAACTGATGAGAGTGATTTTCTACACTGAGTAAAGTTTTTATTAAAAAAGTTTGGTGTTTTTTTTTTTTTTAGTAATGCATTGATCGCCTGATCGCATGATTAATTGATCAAGAAAAGAGTTGTTTTTTTGCAGCCCTAAATTATGTCAATACATACAGTACCCTTCATAAGTTTGGAATCACTGAAACAATTTCATGTTTTCCGTGAAATCCTGTATTTTTATTCGTCAAATTAGTGCTAAATGAATGGAAAATGTAGTCAAGAATTTCACAACATTGGAAATAATGATCTGCAGTTGAAATTACGATTTTGTGCTTCAAACTTTACCTTCGTCAAAGAAACCTCCATTACCACCTTGCAGACCTTTGGCATTTTAGCTGTCAGTTTATTGAGATATTTTGCAGATATTTCACCCCCTACTTCCTGAAGCGCCTCCCACAATTTTAATTGGCTTCATGATCACTTTTTTCATATTATACGGTCAAGCAACTCCTCCAACAATTCAGTAGGTTCAAAAGCCAGTAACTGCTCTGGGCTGTCCATTACAGACAGAATACCAGCTGACTGCCACTCAGCCTACATAGGTCTTGTTTTATTTGTCTACAATAGGTGCTTTGGGTCATTGACATGTTGTAGAATGGAATGCATGACATGATGCTGCAAAATGGAGTGAAAGCCGTCATTGTTTAAGATTTTGTAAGACATGGATGGGTTTGTTTGTCTGTTGTGTCAGTCTGTTTTGTCGAATGCATGGCAGGACATGCCTTTGTATGCTAGTATCAACTGTGCACATGTGAATTGGACCCTGTGCGCACTGTGTGTGTATGCATGCATGCATGCGTGTCAAGTGGGCTCGGGCGGTACCAGTCAGGCGTCTGCCATCTCGTAGCAGATGGAGCCCCGGCCAGGTAGGTGGAGCTTCTCCAGGGCCTGCTGTGTGGCTGGAGCTGGGCTGCCTCTCCCCTGCTAGGCCTGGGGCACAACCTGTGTCTGGAACACACGTCCCAGCAGCTGGGATCTGTGGCATCCGTAGGGGGCATACAAAGACATAACAGCTACTACAATTAAAATGGCCATGGGGGGTTGCAATTCTGAAACCTAGCACCTACATACCCTCAGCATATGGCTCTACTCCTGGTCAACCCTCACAGGTCCTGCTACTAACACTCATATCATTATGTATCAGTATATAAAAAAGTTCCCAGTTCTTGTTTTATTGTAAAAACACAATAGAGGTGCTGGCCTTGCCTGGTTTTAGCCCCGCCTTCTAATCCTACTTCTTTGCATGCAGTTACTTTGCACATGTCTGCATGTCGCTTTAGCATGTTACATGTAGTTGCGCCCTAAAGAAGGGGTCGGCTGGCACACTTGATGTGTGACTGTGGATTTACTCTTGATGCTGAAGGATGAGGGCTTCGTGTCGCCATAGTCAGCAGCTTAAGGGGCCCGGTACTCAGCGGGGGCGGGTCGCAGACCCCCTTGTTGCTGCGCAGCTGCCAGGCCCAAAAATCTCAGTGTTCCGACATAGTGTGTGGCGAGAAAAGGAGAGAAAGATCTGTCAGTTCAGGGTCTCCTGTCACTCAGAGATTACAGGCAGAGAATGTCATGGTGTAATCTTAGGAGTCGGGAGTTAATTAACACTATCAGTGGGCTCTATTGGCAGGATGCGAGGGAAGTTAGGGTAGGGTTGGCACGAGACCGGGGTACCCCCACTGTTTGACTGAACCCCCTTACCCCCCCCCCCCCCACCCCATTCCATTCCTTGTTGCTAAGCTGTCCTATGCTAATAGGCCCTCCCAGTGTCTTGTTCCCTGAAAGGCAGATTAAAAAGACAATCATTTCACAGCTGCTTAGGAGTCTTCCTTGGGATTAGCTAATGCTGTGGGCTGGGGGTGGGGACAGCATATTTAATGCTGCTTTGGTGCATATGCATATGCATGTGGGGTCTCTTGGGGGGTGGGGTCTACTTCCTTTTAATTGGGACACAAATCTCTCACTAAGAGGTGAGCTGAGTCCCTCGCTTTGATGGGGAATGGGGGCGTTTCCCCGGGCACCCATAACCCCCTGCCACCAAGATGCGTTTCTGTCCTGGACTGAGAGCATCTGATTTATATCCAGGGAGGATTTTCATCTGCCACCCACTGACCTCCCTGTCTTCAAAAAGAACAAAAACAGACAGAATTGATTTTTCTTTTTCTGTCATCCTGCTCCCCCCCCCCAAAAAAAAGCAGTACGGAGGTGCTGCTGAAAACCTTGTTTTATTCCCCAGTCTGCTGTCCTCTGGCCCAACTCTCTCCACCCCGGTGAAAGGGACAGAGCCTTTTTGTAACCGTTTGATTGATGGTCGATTTTCCTTAGTGAGCTGCTTGTTGTCTTATCCGTATCATTGTGGGCATTGTGCATAGTAGCCGGATCTGTTTATATGCCTCATCTCAAATGGAACATTTCCCTGTGCCTGGTGTTCCATTCCCCTCTCTACCCACAATCCTCTAGGCTCTCCAAGAAGGACAAGAGAGTAGTGTACACTGTCCTGGAATATTCTCCACTGCTGGACTCCTGCAATATGACCATGGATGACTGGGCTATGATTGGAAAGGACATTGAGGTACTTAGTCTCAGTTGATTTTACTTGCAGTTGGTCCCTTAGACCAGTAGATGGCAGTCAGGTATCACAAATGTGTACCTGCCTACAGCATTAAAAGGAGCTGTGCTCATCCGTGCAGTACTCATGTTGTTGCTCCTTTCTGTCGACTGTCCACAGAAACATTACGAGAAGTATGACGGCTTCGTGGTCCTGCATGGCACCGATACCATGGCGTACACAGCGTCTGCCCTCTCTTTTATGTTGGAGCACCTGGGCAAGCCGGTCATCCTCACAGGTTCCCAGGTATGATGCCCACTGGTTGTTATTTTTAGGAAATCATAACTGAAACCTGGTACCCTTACAGTTGTCCTGATGTGACTATTCCCACACAGGTGCCAATCTATGAGATGAGGAGCGATGGGCGGGACAACCTCCTGGGGGCGCTGTTGATCGCTGGGCAGTTTGTGATTCCTGAGGTACGTGTGGGACTTTCTTAGCTGGAATACGTCAACTTATTGTCACATGATCCCCAAAAAACACACTTCAGTGAGGAGAAACATTCACCATTATGGACTTTCTTATTCTCCAAACGGCCAGGCTACATCCAGCGGTAATCTGTAAGCAGAGGTGGTAATTTCAGGTCCAGAAAGTAAAAATCCACCCAGTTGGGCATACCGAGTCACAGTTACAGAGTGCTCAACTGGTTGGTTGGAACAAAATCTTGGTCTGGATTTGTACTTTCTGGACCGGAAATTTCCACCTCTGTCTGTAAGGCACGAGCCGTGGCGTCGTGTCGCCTGTTTCTTCTGAACTCCCGACTAGCCCCTCCCACGCATTGTTTGCCGAACGGCTGGCTCTTCCTGAATATGGCGGCGCTGCTTGCAGCCAGCGAATCGGAGGCAGAAGTCTCCCTAAAACACCTATCTGACAGGGCCTGAACGCCGGGAGCAGGAGTGGCAAACCCCCGACCCGCGACCCGCGACATTCCCCACTCTGCTACACACTTTGAGTTGGAGACGCACACACAGACACATCAGCATGACCCCAATGGGACGGCATAGGTACATGCATGTCCTCCCCCCAGTGCATTCTGCATGTACACAGCACTCAGGCTGACACTGATGTGGTCTGGGCCCAACAGAACAGCCCAACTCGCCCCAACCTGACACCCTGTCTCTCGCCTCCAGGTCTGCCTGTATTTCCACCACAAGCTCTACAGGGGTAATCGTGTCACCAAGGTGGATTCTGGGAGCTTCAACGCTTTCTCCTCCCCCAACCTGCCACCGCTTGCGAATGCCGAGGTGGATGTGAGAAGTGAGTGACCGTCAGCGGTCTTTGGCCCCTGTTTCTTGTGGAGCTGTGGCTCTTTGTTTTTTTTTTTGTTCTGTTCCTTTCTCACTCCAGGGAGCAATACACTGTTTTTTTCCATTACCTAATGTCAGTTTTCCTCATAATTAGCTGAACAGCGGCGTGTTGTTAATCACACGGCCAGGTGGCCCTGCGTAATGCCGTTTCGGTCAAAAATTGTTCCACCCGTGCTGCGGGATGTTGTTGGAGCAAACCACCGTCTGAGTCACGGGGGAATTTCCTTCCAATTCTGCTGGGGTGGCTCAGTAATGGGAGACCGACAGGTTCCGTCACATGCCTCGCATGCAGCCACCTGCGGGTTGCCACGGTCCCTTGAAAACTTAGCAACAGCAGGTCCTGCCCAGTGCCAGTACGTGGTCAGTCCCTCTGTATTGCAGGGTTTACCAGGAAAATGGGCTGAGCTAATGTATAGCTGAGTATCAAAGGTTTGTTAAAATGTCCCTGCATAATTCGGAATGGTTTACTGTGCAATTAAAGAGCAATGGGGAGCCTGTTGAGGACAATGTATCTCACAGATTGGCTGGCTATAAGCGCAGAGGGGGACACCACTGCATCAGGAGCCCCAGTCAGTTGTGCTTGTGGGGTTTTTTTGCACAGGATGTGAAAGCAGATGCAGATGGCATGCAGGACAGGTGCGGCAGTGCTGTGATTTTGCTGTGCTAGCTCCGAGTGAGCAACCGGCCGGAATACTCTGGTCATACGTCCATCTGTTTCCTGCCGGGCTTTGATAAATCTGCGTCCATTAATTGTCTGAGATCTGTCACCGTAATGGGCTCAGATGTATTTTCCCTTTCTGGAGAAGTGGTGAATTAAAGTCCGCAGGCCAGTTTGTATTCACCGCTGTAAATCTTAGCTTTAATGTACGGTTCCCCCAGACTCTCCTCTCTTTCTCCTTCTCAGTCTTTCATTGTCTTCCTTTCTTGTTCTGTGTTGTTATTTCTTCATCTTCCTTTTTCTCTCACATCAGCTCACTATAAGTTCCATTTGAAAGTACAGCATTTGAGCAACTTAACTAAATCAGGGGTCTGGCCCTTGGTGACCACTGAACTAAGGAGTAGGTAAACCAAACCTTAACTCTTTCTATTCCCCTTTCCATCCTGTACAGTAAACTGGGACATGGTGTGGTGGGCCAACACCACATCCAAGTTCCAGGTCCAAACACTCATGAACCGGAACGTGGGGCTCCTACGGCTCTTCCCTGGCATCACTACGCAGACCGTAAGCATTGGCATCGCCACACGGCCCACGCCACCATGCATGATTACTGGGAGCTGCTATACCCTGCCCAGCTCTGTCTCCAGGCCATGTTCACCCAGCTCATGGGAGCTTTACTTACACGAAACGAAAAATGATTGGTTCAGAAAGATAACCAATCAGATTATAGAGGAAGCGGGACCAATCAATTAGATGTCTTCGTCACACCTCCTCTAGTTGCTTGGACCCACGTCCTCTATAATCTGATTGGTTATTTTTCGGAACCATTTTTATGTTCTGCCTTCAGAACATTTTTGTGTAAATAAAACTCCCACGAGCGTTCACCCATCCATTTGACTAATGCCTGCCTTATGCCTGCGTTTATTTTTATCTTAAATTAACCTCAGTTTGCCCATCAGTGACCCATCCTTAGACTCCACCTATATGTGCGTCTGCAGCTGTGAATGTGTAACTGTGAGGTTTCCTCAGTGGACTCAGGTATCTGCTGTCCTCTTCCCCTTCTGTTCTTCCTTAGACTGGGCTAAAATCAAACCTGTGGGTGGCATTTTGTCACTGAATTACGAGACTGAGTTATGGGGCACGTCTGATAGACATAAAAAGGGAGTTGGCAGATGAATTGGAGCGCTTAGTCTGCCATTCATTAAAACAGGATGGTGGGGCTGTTGGCTTTGCTGTTCGGAAGTTGGCACAGCTGTGCCAGTATGCCTGCCTGCAAATTCTTTTATCATGTTTGTTACAGCCGTATTTTTGGGGGCAGGCACCTTGATCAGTGTGTCCTTGGTAGTCCTGCGGAAAGAGGTGGTATTTCTTTCACACCAGCCCTTACTCTGCGGTCAGTCATCTGGTGCTAGTTCTCCTGGGCCGTTGTGTGTCTCTCTGCGGCTTAGATCTCCTGTGATTAGAAGGTTACTGGTTCAAAGTCTGTGGAGGAATGGTGGCTTTAGAGCTGGTCCCATGAGCAAGGCACTTAACCCCAAAAAATGCACTCGAGGTGAGGGGTAAATGTCTGACCCCAACCTCCTGTTCCACTGACCCCAAACTCTAAACTGTATATGTCTGTGTGTGGATGTGTGTGATGAATCTGCTTGAATGTTTTATACAAGCCACTGATGAGATGTAGGGGTGTACTCACATTAGGCGATCTGTACTGTGCCCAAGCATGTTTGACCCCCAAAGTCTTGTTCGTTTGACTAGTGTGATCACTTTGTACCATGTCCAGGCATGGTGCACTGAGCTGTGTTTGGCTCCATCTCTTCAAGCGGGCCCAGGCACGGTTCAGTTGGACTCGGGCACTGTACCCATCTAGTGTGATCACTAATTGTGCCCAGGTACGGAACACAGACATGATGTCAATGATGTGAGTGGCACATGCATGCACATATCTACAGTATACATGAACTGCACCCAGAAGGAACAGATCAGGTAGGCTGTACAGATCGGGTAGGCTGTACAGATCGGGTAGGCTGTACAGATCGGGTAGGCTGTACAGATCAGGTAGGCTGTACAGATCAGGTAGGCTGTACAGATCGGGTAGGCTGTACAGATCGGGTAGGCTGTACAGATCAGGTAGCAATAAACATTTAACAAACAAGGTGGCAGAGGGATCACTTTGGCCTATGGCAGAGGTGCAGTGTTTGCTGGAAATTTCGTCTAATGAGAATATCCAGGAACAACTAGATGCAACACAACAAAAACTCAGAGATATTTGGTAAAATAAGGGACTATCTTAGATGTGCAGCACAATTTAATGAATATCGCTGTGATGCATACTTGATAAAAGCCATGTATCATTGCATCCAAAACGACTTCTTCAACACAAAAAGTCGCAGTGTGATGATGAAAGCATGCTTGGATCCGGAACATGAAGCACAATGTGAGCACAGACCAGCAAAGGTGTGGGGAGGGGGACAGCTGTGCTCAGGCACAGTGCAAGGCAACCAGACCTAGCTTGAGTACGCCCTTAAGGCTGCTTCATACGTCTCCGCACAAGCGCAACATCCACTCTGCATATCCACTCTGCGTATGCAAACATGCAAACGTTCACAGCCGCGTCCTTTGCACATGCCCACAATGTGTTGTGTTGATATTTTTATTGATAATAATGATATAAAATATTATTTTGATATCCCCTGCACACGTACCTCAGCAGTGAGCTTTGTGTCCGTTTCTTTATGTTTACAAATTCACTCTGGTCAGCTGGCAGGCTTTTCAATTAATTTCATGTCTGCACTCACATACAAACGCATTTACATGTATGTAACAGTTTTATTACCTTGTAAATCATCTGAATCAAACTACCCCAGCGCTCCTCAAAAGCATTCATGTTGGTATTTAAAGTGGACTCTCGCAAATCGATCACGCACAGTGCGTCCAGAGCTGCGCATACTCAGCTGTGTGGACGCAGATTTGGAGTGCAGCAAGCGTTCGTCCGCGGAGGCGCACAATGATGTCAAACGCATCATAAATGTTAGTGCGGACACATCCGCTAGTACGCAAACGGAGAAGTATGAACCAGCCTTTAGTGTTTTGGTTAAGGCTTGGAGCCATTTTGTATTGTGGGGGGGGGGCGCTAGTAAAGGATGTGTGATGCCAGGCAGGGGCCCAGGGGAAGGGGGTGGGATGGGCTTCACTTCCCAGGGAGGGTGGAAAGCAGATGGGCTGGGGACCATGGGGGGGCTTCTTTTTTTTTTACTATTAAAGACTGTGTAATCTCCCTCCTTGGGCCCATCATCCAAGCTGAGTGAAGCTCATTGGTGCGTGAGCGGGTACGCGCCCCCCATGAGAGGTGTGGCTTCCTCCCCCCTCCCTTGCACATCCAGCCTGGTTTTGAGCAGGCAATAGATCCAGGCAGCTTTTACAGTTACGATTAATTGATTAGAATTCTCTTTGTTATCAAAGCAGACGTTTCTGCCTGCTGCAGTGTGTGTGGATCAGATGGTAGTTTTCTTCTGGATGGGGGGTGGTTTGGGGGGGGTCAAAGTCTTCTATGACCTTGGGAGGATCAGTGGAGATGGACCTCTACTCACCAGGGGTGCACTTGCAAATGCATGGCATTGTATGTGTCATTCGCTGCCCTTTCTGTCCTGTAGGTACGGGCCTTCCTGCAGCCACCTATGGAAGGCATCGTCCTGGAGACCTACGGCAGCGGCAATGCCCCCAGCAATCTTGCTGACCTCCTGGAGGAGTTCAGCAAGGCCACTGAGAGGGGTGTCATCATGGTCAACTGTACCCAGTGCCTCCGGGGCAGCGTGATCACTAGATACGCCACGGGCAAGGTGCCCCCACCAATTTCCCTGCTGTGTCTTTACCACACAGTCATGTGACTATGTGCCACCCCTGTCATGTGACATGAGTGAAATTCATGTTGTGTCAATCCATTCTACAAATGTATTTGTTATGGCCAGAAGACACAGTAGCAATGTCAGTCAATATTACCCTCTACTCTGTTCCATCCACATGTGTCTCTGCAACCTTGGTATTTTTACAGAAGCAACAGTAGCATTTAATTACGGCAGTAAAATGCTCCTTCATTAATATTCGCTCTCGCTCCTCGACTCTGAAAGCTGCATTTTTATTGCATGGTTTCACAGCAGTGCTTGGATTTAAGTATCTGTTTTAAGCGATGGGCTTGGTTTGCCAGGCGGTGCTGCATGGGGGATTTTTGGGCTAATAACACACCCCACTCCTCAACGTTCTTGCCTCTGCGATGCTTCCCTTGCGACATCACTTGGAAGCTCACCTGACAAGAGGTGCAGCCTGTCCCTTTTGCAGGGACTCCCTGTCGTACGTCGGGGGGGGGGGGGGTAGTCATGGGACAGGACCCGGTGTCCAGCAGAGGTCTCTGAACTGCCAGACTCGAAAGCCGGTAACCTTTTGGGGGTGTCCTTATTTCCCCACGGACTGATGATGATATTAGTGCGCACACTTGCACACGCATGCACACACGCTTACCCTAGGCCTGACTCGACACATGTGGGTGAGCGTGTTTGGCTGCAAATGGAGAGAAAGACAGACAACGAGTCACAACAGGTAGTGCGAGTGGAAGCTGCCTCCATGTCACTTTCTGTGCGGTTGCCCCAACTCACCACGGACTTAGCTCGGGCTCCTGGGGCACCAGGCCGGACGAGCGCCCACACCGTTCTCTGTGTGCCGCTCTTTAGGGAGGCTTCTTAATCGTTCACGGCCTGGCTGCAGTTATTGCGCACAGGCGTGGTATCCATATCGTGTTGGTCAGGGGGACGATCGCAAACTGGGTGTGTGTTTATGTCCAGGCTCTGAGCGACGCGGGGCTGGTGCCAGGCTGTGACATGACCCCTGAGGCGGCCCTGTCCAAGCTGTCGTACGTGCTGGCCAAGGAGAAGCTCAGCACGCAGGAGAAGAGAAAGGTACATGCCTAACCCCCCCACTACGATGATTGCCTCACTCATAAAGGCCTCTGGCTGCCTTTTGGCAGGGTGGGGGGAATGTCACCGTCATTGTGGCGGAACCGGTATCTCAGTCTGCCACGTTGCAGGTCGTGTCACAACTGTGTGTATGCAGGTGGATTCTTAGCGTGTGCTGTGTGGAGCACATGGGACGTGCCTCCACATGCAGACAGAGCCTAACAGCGCACCTGTTTACAGTACCATTAACCCTCCTTTAGATACCCCAGAGCACAGGGCAGGGGCCACTCTGCATGGGATTGCAGTCCATCCTTGGGCAAATGCACACACTCTCAGTCCAAAAACTGCCAGCAATGTAGAGACGCCGGTTAGCCTAGGTGTGTGTGTCTGGGGTACGGAAGGAAAACACAAGAGCAGGAGCACATGGAAACTCCACATACACAGAACTAGGGGCAGGGAACAAACGCACAGTTGTGGAGGTCTGTGGCTGATCACTGAGCCACCACTTTACCTACTTATATTATTTTACCCGGTTGGCTATTTACCATACCAAATCACATTGTTTTTACCTTACCTATTTGCGCAAGCTTGCCTGTTTACCGGAATAAGTGACATGTTTCGTGTTACCTCACCTTATTTATTTAGAAGCCTGTCGCTGTTATCTTCCACCTCACTCCCTGGGTTTTCCGGATCGTACCGGCCGTGGTAGCCCTGGGCACTTCTGCCCCTCTCACCTCTGACCTCTGACCTCAGATGCTGAGTGAGAATCTGCGGGGGGAGATCACCCACCTGGACGAGACTCGGTACTGTCTGCGGAATAACCGCTTTATTCGGATCATCGCCGAGTGCCTGAACATCAGCTGTAAGGAGGTGGGCCCCCCTCCCCCCCCGTTCGCTGGCCCATGTCTGTCGGTCCCCCGAGAGCTGATGGCCCTGCATTGTTTCCTAGGAGCTGGAGGCCGTTCGTGATGCCCTCAACCCGACCCTGGCCTGTGCCGCAGCCAAGACTGGGGACATTGAAGCTCTGCAAGCCATCCAGAAAATGGTAACTCCCCCACGGACCCCAGTGTTAACGTCCATCAGATGAGGTGCAAACAGGTCTGCTTTGTTACTCCCCCAGCATTGGGGGACGGACGTGTGCCATGCGGTGACGGGTTCGAGGCCTTTCACACCAGTTGGGCCGCATTCGTTCGTTGAGCCAGAATATGGATGCTAGACATTCCCAGCATTCCCAGTGTCTTCAGTCAAGCCACAGACGCCTGGCATACCTCAGCTTCCTCTTAACAATGTCCCACCCTGAACACGTGTCCGCTCCCCTCGGCAAGTTGGCATTGCTGTGTCGAGCTCCGAAATTCTGAATGTCTGCAAGCTGTAAAGTGAGATAGCCAATAATGGCCCCTCAACAGTCAAGGGGGAGTGTAAACAGAGCATTTTGTAGGCCCCTGTATTTCGTTAGTGTCACAGCTGAAGATAAATTAAACCAAATATGCCTTTCATTTATTTTGTATTTGGCATTAAAGTGTGAAGGGTTGCTCTGCGCTGATGCGCTAGTCATTTAAAGTAATTATTTTACATTTATGGGCATATCTTTGCATTTAGCGCTAATGAGCATTTTCAGAAATGGGAAAAGCTTCATAAAATATCGTGAATTATCTTCATAATACACCAATGAACTATTCTCGTTATTCCTCTCTAAACCCAGCATTGAGGCTCGTCAGGGCCGCATCGTAGATCTAGGGTAATATTTGTGAACTGGTAAAGTGAATGAGGATTTATTTGTTCCATTATGGTGATGGACTGCTTTCTTCGATCACTGCTGCCATTAAAAAGCAGCAGGCAAGTAATGTTTAATAGATGTTTTGAAGTATGTTTTTTTCTAATGAGTTTTAGCCTGAGTCAAGCAATGAATAGCTTCCTGTGTTTCCACTTTGTAGTGTTACTGTTAATCTAGAAAAACACAGACAGCCCCTCCCCATTATTTTTTAATCTGTGAAGAAGAGACTTTTGTCACTGTATGGCAACTGTATGTGGCTTTATTGCTATTATATATGCGAAATGTACTGCCCCTGCTTAATGCTAGCATAGGGCAGCCGTTCTAGGTTTAAATATAATCTAATTGGGTGACAGTTAACAAGTCCCTTTGAATGATAATGTCTCAGACGGGATGTGGGTAATGTGGGTTGTCGCTCCCCTATCCAGGGCAGCACTCTGAGCATGGAGGATTACGATGGTCGCACCCCGCTGCACATCGCTGCCTGTGAGGGCCACTACAATGTGGTGGAATATCTTCTGGGCCATGGAGCAACTGTCTATGCCAAGGATCGCTACGGTCACACGCCACTGCATAACGCCGTCCAGTTCAGGTGCCCTCCACTTACATTATCTACACACCCATTAGGGAGGCCTAGGTCTGCTTTGTTAACTTCTCTAATATCCCAGTTAAGGTTATAGTTAGGATTCTGTTTAATATTTCAGTTGGAGTTAGGTTTAATGTTGGCTTTAATGCATTGGAGTTAGGGTTGGGGTTATGGGTATGGCTAAGGTAGGGTTAGGGTGGCATTGTGGCTTAGGGTTATGGTTTTATTCTTGGTTGGCATGAGTATTGTGATTAGGGTTGAATTAGGACAAAAGTTGGCATCTAGTGAATTTCAGGTTCATGTCCCAGTGGAGATGCCAAGAAGTGCAATTCATTATAAAACCCAGTTGTGAAAATGAGTAAGATGTTGGTCTGACTAATGCTCTTCTTGGTGGCTCGCCCCGTATGACAAGTACCGACAGGCCACTGTCATTTGTGTGGAAAGGTGCGGCAGCATAGGTCAGGTGACTGAGAAAAGGAAGACTTCGCTCTCAGCTTCAAGCCCTCTCTCTGACCCTGGACTGACTTTTGTCCCCTGGTGTCCCCTCTTGTCCCACGCTTTGTAGTGCCATCTCCAGCACGTAGCCTTCGCTCGCCTCTCCTCGGAAAGGCTTTTCTCGGGCCTCTGCCAAACCCTGCTGATCAGCGGGTGGAATTCTTGCCTACCCCCGAATCTAATCGCTGTTTCGTGAGCCCCACCTCCAACTCCCTGTAAAACCTGCATTTCGTGCCGTAGCAGTAGATGACAGACGTTGATGTAAAAACAGCCTAGTCTCTGTCATGCGAGAAGATTAGGCCTGTTTTTGTGACAAAGGCGAATCCGTTTCCTTCTTTGTGTACACGCAAAGAACGCGTCACTCTAACAGCGAAGGGACAAGTCACCTCAAACCAGACTGACCTGCTACAGCAGAGTCATGGCAGGTGAGTACCACGATGTCACTGGCAGCATGGCAGCGGTGGTGGATGCTCAGGCCAGGGCAGGGCGGGCACAGCTGGCGAGGGAGGCGGCTTGCGGGGGCGGCAAGGCGAAACTGCCGGCATTTTGCTGTGATGCTTACACTGACATTACCGTAGGTTCCTCTGGATTCATAGACATGATCTTCTGGCTGCTCTGATGTTAAACTCTTTGAAACTTTTACACTTTTACAACTTTTTTTTAAAAACCTCCAATGCCATGTCTTTTAACAGCTCTTTTCTGTTGTTATTATTATTATTATTATTATTATTATTATTAGATTCCTTAGCAGGGTCACTTTATCTACACTGACTTACAATTTTCAGTTTAAGTCCATTCTGTTACCATAGTAAACAAATTTGCTGCTATTTTCATTTGTCGTGCATTAGGGGGAAAATACCATGTCAGTTCATTTTCCAGTATTACAGGTGCATTGGAAGACAGCAGCAGAAAAAATTATCAAAAGCAGTAATGTCGCTGTACTTTAATTCTAAGTGAGACACATTGTCACATTGAGTGTGGCACCAGGGGACACATTTCAGGGCTCTGCCCACTCAGCAAGACACAGAGTGAGAGCCACTCTGGATCGGGTTCCCATTCCTGAGGACGTCGCCAGGGGCGTTCAACAGAAAGTACGGGCACAGACAGTGCCACGCGCTCTGACACTGGAGTTTCAGTGCGGGGGTGTCTGGGCCTGCCTGTGCTTGCCTGACGGCGACAGTGCAGCGACTTGTCGCGGCCAGAGGTGGCCCCAAACACATTCCTGCTGAAGACTGTTCATAGGTTACAAACTTATCCCTAAATGAGGGAAACAGGGCGGGGAAATTGAGAAAGGCTGTTGTGGTGTTTCCTTTGAAAAAGCTCTATCCTGTTTGCCAAGACAAACCAATTTGTTCCATAGCAGAACATTTTCCTCATATTTGCCCCATGCTTCAAAATCTCAACCAGATTTTTCTTATTCAAAACTTGGCCTGTGATTGGCTACTCCTTTCCAGTGACTAATATTTCTATGTGCTATTCTGTAATAGACATTTCTGTCATGTTTTTCCTGCTTGCATCTGGACGTGGAGCGCCATTTGTTCGGTAGATTTCTGTCCACTTGTCTTAGCAACTTGCCATATTGACCCTCCGATTGGTTGACTCAAAGCAGGAAGCACATGTGATTGGCCAAGTACTGGTCAGTCATCTATGCATACTACGCTGTGAACTGCATCTTATTTTTCGGATCTCTGCTGTGGCACCTGAGGACGTATTGGAAAAGAATGGAGCTTTTCATTAATTAATGAACATTTCTGAAGTCACTGATGCAACGTTCACTTCTCAACTATAGGCCTTGGATTAATTATCTGTCTTTCCAATCTATCAGTCCAAACCTAGCTTGTACAGCCCCTAAGGTCTGTTAACCAGAGATCTTTATCTCAAAACCTGCCCTCACCACAAATATAATGAGATCTTCAACATGCTTTGAAACAATGTAGTGGAGAGTATTTGGTCAAAAAACTGAAATCTCAAGGAATAGTATGGAATTTAAGGAGGCCTTATTTGTGCCTGTTTCACTAACTGTTATCAGTCTGTTTGTGTGTCTGAGAATGACCCACTGATTCTTAATTCCTCATGTGACTGTCCCTGACCTATACACACACTATACCTTGTGTGTTTGTGCATGAATCCCTCTTACTTAATGATCCATACATCTCTGCTCATGACCCTGATCTCTGCGTTGTTAGGAGAACCCATTTTGTAGCTCTATGCATTTGATGTCCTTCATGCCAGTCATTCTTGGTTTCATTATACTGCATCTCACCTTTTTTGTGTGTGTCTCCCCCTGTGCCTGCTGGGTTACTGTGGATGACTTACACCCCATGTGACGGCCCATCAGACGTGGTGATGTGGTGAAGCTGCTGAGGAAGACGGGAGCCCACTTCTCCCGGGACGAGCTGGAGAAGGCGGGATCAGAACTCTGCAGGTGGGATCTCCCAGCCATTGGTCGTGCTGAAGCATAATATAGCTACGACTCTATGGCTTTTCACCCCATTCTTCCAAAGAAACACACACACGCACACACACAGAATGCGAGTTCTAGTCCAACCAGATGTTCCGGTGTTATGAAAGCCTCAGAATGTGCCCAGGCTGCATCACTGCACCACACTTACATTCCTTGAATTCCTGACAGCAGTAGGGAAGTTGCCTTGAGTTACCTCTTCCTGTTCACGCCCGCCCTTTGTGCGGCTGTCTCATCCATGGCCTTTGAAGACCACTGTAGTCTGACAATGCGTCTCACGCCAAAGCAGCACCCACTGAAAGACTATGTTGATGCTAAAATGCCAATTTGATGGATTATTCAGTGTCTCTTTAGCCTGTTTTAGCTTTTAGCTGCAGCTGCAAGACTTCACCAGAAGTACAATGAGTTTAGGAATATCGATGATACCTTTTGTATGTGAACCCACTACCTCAGACTCTTTAAATATGAATGAGTCTTTGTAGCAGAACTACAGTACCAATGTTGTACCAACTTTTATGGCTATTAGAGGGTTTTGGGCTGTTTGTAACGTTGGGTGGTGCTGGGTGCTATATTGCAGGCTGGCAGCTTGCAGTGACCTGGATGGTCTGGCAATGTGGCATCTGGCTGGGGCAGACATGAACATGCCCCGGTACGATGGGAAGAACGCCATGGAAGTGGTGAGTGACGTGGATGTGCCCTTTTGTGCGAGGGTCAACGTGCTTGTTGGCGTTGGAGTTGCCTTTCCAAAAAGCAGCATTCTGCAAGGTGGTTTACAGCTCCTCTCTCTACCCTCCACCTGTTCCCCTTACAGGCCCTTAACACTGATAACTCAGAGGTGGCTGAATTCTTAAAGCAATGCAAGACTATGGTAAGATCTCGTAGCTCCCTTCACTGGCACCTTCTATCCCACAAAGCTGCCGTTCATCATTTTCTCTCCCCACTGATCAGCTGATGCCCTGACCTTTTTTGCCTGGTCCAGCAAGAATACAGTGGCAAATGTATTCATTCCTTTGCTGTATTGGCTCCTGGTCATATTTATCTATTATGTGCTCTGTAACTCTCTGTAGCATTACCAGGTAATGCCGTCTCATATGTTCATTGTATGTACTTTTTTTCCTGACCATATGTTGCTTGTTTATGATACTATAACTACACAATTAATCTTGTAATTGCACTATTGGATGTTGGCGCTGTTTGCACCTTAATTTCCCCTCATCGATTAATCTGTCTTTGGGTCTGGATGGACCAGCCTGTCCAGTCATACACTCTGGATTCCAGTTGTAGCTGTACTTCTGTAATATCCTGTCTCTCACTCACGTTTCAGAATGGAGACGTCACAGGCTTCCCGCAGCGCCCCTGAGAAGTTTGGGGACAAGATCAGCCGGCACCTCGCCATATTGTCTTCCTGTCCAGCTTCCCTCTCTTCTTCTTAATTGTGCAGCTTCCTGCAGATTTTAACCCAAAAACATCCTGCCTAGCCATGTAAAATTCACCCTACGGTGTTATTGCACCTTGTAGAATAATGCAGGATGGGGCACCGATCTATGGCAGGGCACACACACACACACGCACACACACACACGCACACACCTGATTCAGTAGTTGTGTGATTTTATTTAATTTATAGTATGAACAATTGTACTGTGATATTGAAAGTGTTTTATTTATGGGTAGAGCATGGGACTTTAGTCACGCACACATCCTGATTTCCCATTGGTTTCCCCTGCACTGCCATTGTATCCAGCCTCACTGTAATTGGTCAGAACTGTTGATGCCACCTCCCTTTAAATACTCTCGAAACTAGGAGGTAGAATAACACCATGAAGGTAGTTATATGCATGTTCTACCCAGACCTGTTACACTTGTTCTGACCTGGTATATTGGGGGATCTATATGGGTGATTATTCTTATAATTATCATTTTAGACCCAAGGGTCTTTATTTGGCAGCGATAGCTGTGAAGTTCTGTCCATGCTGTATGACTCATTTGATCATTATTTAGCACAGAAGGGAAATCGAGCCAGCAAGGCTTGACACGTCGGGCTCATGCGGGTTTGGAAGCCATCGGAAATTGCACAGTTTGCTTGCATGAACCAAGTACTTCTTGCCATCTTATCAGAACTTGCTCTAGTGCCAGTTAAGGGAAAAAGTTGTACTAACTGGAAGTCCCTGCTGAGATGTGTGAGTGATCAGTGTGGAACCCTAACCCAACTACACCTACCACTTATCAAGAGATAAGCCCACTGATCTAGGTGGCTGTTAAAAATGCACTTTTATATTATGATTAGTTCAGTGATCAGAGGGTCTGTATTTGGTGTCGGTGAGTGAAAACGCTTCCATGAGCACCTGCATGTAAACAAGCACAAACTTAATAAATGCAATTGTCTGCAATTGGTTTCTGCATTAAGTCTTTTTTCAGTCAGCCTGCCAGACCACCTTGACAGGTTTCACGTTACGCTGCATGCAAGGCCTGCCCTGATTCTTCATTCTCTTACCAATACTTCCATTTAAACAAATGATGGGTGAAGTGTAGAGCCTGGAGACTTTTAGTAGGGAGACTGAAGAAAATTAGTTGCACCGCTTATGTTCTTTGACCTCCAACCCAGCTGTAACATGGTATTTAAGGGCATTTATTGGGATAGATGGGATCTCAATCCTGAAAGCTCCTCTTACTGAATTTGAATATTTTTCAGTGTGTTCTGTGATCCCATCAGGTTTTGTCGCAGAGCCAAATCGAGTGCCTCTGGCTCTCAAACGACTGCCGTAAATGTCACCTGAAATAGACACGGTCGTGAGTAACCCCCCCCCCCCTTTCCTTGCAGGCTGAATGAAACATCTCGAGATAGCAAGCTCAGAGTTGCTGGTTTTATTTAATTCCTTTACCTTTCTGCTGTCCTCCCGACTGTGTTTCTTTGCAGCGGCTAAAAGCTCGGTGTAAGTCCTCTGTTCCCTGATGAGGACGCTGATTAACTTGCCGCCCCGTAGTGTGAACAAGCAGATCGGCAGCCTTTGAACGGAGCAGCCAGATTTCAGAGAGCAGTCAGCTGCTGTTCGGAATGGGGAGAGAAGCCCACTTACGATCCTGTGATATTTAAATAAAGTAGAAGTAAACTGAGCAGTAGGGGGCATCGGTCGTCATGAGCTCCCTTTCAGAGTGAAGTTGTTTGAAAATTTCCCCAGTGTGATATTTGTATCCGTATGAATTTTAATGCCAGCTCCATTTGGGGGGTCATTCTCATTAGCTTGTTGGACTCCCCAGGTCTGCACTTAAGGAAATCCACTTTGAACATAAGGCCCAGCGTCTCTCTGCACTTCAGACAACTGCCGAGAACCAACAATAATATGGGCAATTAGGTGGGATGGGGGGTGATCCCTTCAGCTTGGATCACACAAGGGGTTCACGGCACCACAATGATCCAGTTGCATATTCTGCGAGAAGACCTGCAGAATCAGAATCGTCCAGCTGACATTAGTTGCATTGCCCACAAATCTTTATATTTTAGTGGCCCAGAACCCTTGTTATAGTGCTGCTGTGATCCGGTTCCCATTGCCTTGGCAACTGGGACTTTGGGGTTCAACTCGTTTCATGGGTCTCCCCCGGAGGAATCAAACCAGCTGATCTGGTTAAAAGTTAGTACCTGTGGAATAGTTGCATTGAAGAACATGAAATTAATGGGTCAATAAGTTCTCTATGTACTAACTGTCACAGGTGCACTAATAACAGACCTCGGGTTAAAAAAACAACAACAACCAAACTGCGGGGATCATAAAAACCAATTAATACAGTGACTAATTTCACTGGCAAAAGTCCAGTTTACTGAAAGTGCAGCAGCAGACGCCCAGGATCCGATTCAATGCCAGTGCTAGCAGAGAGGCAGAACGGAACAAGAAATGTTCCTGTACCCCAGATATGTGAAGGACAACAATGAAAAATAAGACATGTCAATAAAACTGGGCAACCGGGGGAGCAAATCAGAACATAAGGCATTCAAAACGCGCTACAGCCCCCTGAAGCTCAGTGGAACATTTCAGGAATGTCCCTTTATCACCTGGAGAACTTGTTGGTCGTGTGCCCTGGTCTTTCCTGTTGGTGGCTCAACCTTAACGGTAACCACTCGTCTTAGGTTAGCTCTCACAGCAAACTGGCCAGACAGGTGTGCTGCATGTCTGCGAGTCTATTTCAGTTTTCTATGCCGCTGCTGTGACCTCATGGAGCAGGTTAAACCGGCATGGGCTTCATTCCTGTCACAATCATGAGGCCTGTGCGTACACCCTACCATCATCACTGCTATATATAAGGAAGCTAGACTCAAACTGAGCAATCAACGTTTTGGCTCTGCTGGTGGAACTCTTTCCTTCTGCAAGGTAAATATTTTACCACCTTTTTGAAATATTTCGTTTTCAAAAGCACGGTTCGTCTCCAGGATATAACTTTTAAAGTAAGGCTTTGGAATCCTGATCGTAATTGTCGTGTGAACTACCTTGTTGTCAAAATATAGGACGATTTACTATTTTTCCATTTATATGAAACTTTTTTGTTTTTATTTTTTGTTACAGATCCTAACTTTAACAATGTTCGGGCTTCGACATTGGGGGAAATCCTCTTTAAACTGGTCTCTCGGGTGGAGTGGTTCTAAACAGTTCAACAGTTCTTTACCAAAATTGTGAAATGTTTAGGACCACTTGATCAGGGTGATTGAAACGTTTGAGTGCGAAGAGAGAAGAAAGCCAAACTTTTCCGGAACAGGCTAAATGATACCGGTGGGATTTGCATACTGGACTAAGGAGTCGGATACAGCAGAGCCGAATCGGCCATTAAGGCCGACCCTCAGCATTTCGGTAAAATGTGGACGATTTCATTTGTTTTTTTTCCCTCGTTTTTTAACTCAAAAAACTTCTGTAGATTTCAGTAGAATTCCATTGTGTAAAAATGTTACAATGCGTAGTAAACCTGTTTTTAATTGTGTTTCTTTCTTTAAAATGATACATTGTACTATCGATATAGTATATTACTGTTTTTCGTACTATTGTTCGACTGCCAGCTGTGGAAGGTTAGACTATAGACTAGAGCGCCCTCTTCGGTTCGATCATGTTTTCGCCACGTAAGCCTATTAACTATTTCTAGTTAACAATTAAATTACTCGATTTTTAATTTTTTCTGAGTAACGCCTAAACACCAATAAAGATGTAATATGATATAATTAGTCAATGGGATTATTGCCAATCACGAACAGCCAAAAATTAGCTTCAGCGGTAGTTATCGAGAATATCATACACTAAATATGTAAATGTATGTAAATTATACGATGTTGCAGCAGGAATCATCAGTTATATAAATATTACCTGTTTTTTAATCCTGATATATTTTTCAAGAGGCAATAAAAGGAGTCTTGGGTCGCTAATAAAGTCTGAAAACAATTTCTGCTCAATTTATCAAATGCTTTTAACTCACTAACAGGCAAGAGGCTTTAATTAAATGGCAGGATGCGTGTATGTGCAAGTATGAACTAACGGAGGCTGATTGGAGTTACCAGATTGTCCGTCAGTGTGCACGTGTGAGTAAATGGTGAGTGAGTGCGCCCTGCCATGGGTTCTCCTTCATCCTGGGTTGTTCCCTGCTTTGCGCCCGTAGCCTCTGGGATAAGCTCATGGTCCCGCTACCCTGAACAGGACATGCGGTTACAGAAAGTGGATGAATGGTTGCAGGTTAGTGGATTATGCTGTCCTTGGTGCTGATGCGTCTGATATATTTGAATTTAATTTGCCCCTTTCTACCCAATTTTATATTTTCCCACGCAGTTCTCTAATGACGGATCCTAGGTGAGCAAACCTGGGGCCCCCAGCTGTACTATTACATAACAATTGCAATGATACGGGGGCATACTAATCCATGTATCTTATTCAATATTATTAATTATTACAAAAACACTTGCATCAAACGAACTAAAAGTAAATAAAAAATAACGGTGTCACTATATAAACACGTGCATTTCACCAATGCAATTATAGTTGTGCTTGGGAAGGGGACAGACACAAATACCTCGCGGAAAAGTGGGATGGAATGATCAAAGTGTTTAAATGAAGCGCTAAGATCATGCTAGTGGGGTTAAATCTACCAGATGGGTACGACAGGAGCTGAGAGCGAGGGGGTGAGGTGTGGGGTGGCGGGTCGCCTAGCTTTTCATGAATTACAAAAATCGAACGGCTTCCACATACATCTGGACGGTGGCGGCCATGAACAGCTCCATGTAACTGCCCTTCGTCACTGGGCCTTCTCTGCACATTAGTTTCTACCGCTAAACGTCACTTGCGAATATAACTTTTGAGAGGCATCATTAGAAACCTCGGTCTTTTGTGCATTTTTCCTGGAAAGCGGAATTAATGACCGCAAATTAGCGGCAGTCGTTTATTTTACCCGTCGTTTAAACGAGTAAATGTTTGTAAAAATAAATTGCCAAGTAAGACGTTGGCTGCTTCACATTTTTTTCCGGGCAGTTAACGAAATCGTTCATGTTTTATAACAGATTAATCTATAGAGTATATTTGCACTTTTAAGTCTGAGCACCGTCAGAGATTTGCTTTTTCAGACATCAAAGACCTCATCACTCACCGTTAATAACACCAGCTTTGTTGTTCAAATAAATTATTCATTAAAGACGAGGCAATTTTTTTCTTCATCCGTCATGTAGGTAAGATGGACTGGGCGCTGCATTCTTTCAGCTCGGTCTCGTGGCACGGTTTGATACCCGCCTCATTTGATAAACACTTCTTATATTGCCCCAATGGCGAAGGTTACCAAGTTGAGCAAAGGATCTCTGCGCAATTAACGATAAGACAGGGTCTTTTCCGCGCGTGCAAAAGAGGCAGCAGATGCATGGAGTCCCTCGAGACCGAATCCTGGGAATTTCATCAGCGTTCTGGGGTGACCCGGCTGGGCAGTGCACGTGCTAAATCATCTTTACAACGGATTGTAATTATCGGCTCTGCAGCCCATGTCAATCCTGCAAATCAAAACTGTAATGTGGCTCATCGACTGGTGGAATGCTTGTTAGTGCGAGGATTGTTTCCGTCTGTGTGTGTGTGTGTGTGTGTGTGTGTGTACAGGTGAGTGCAACCACGTCAGTTGGGAGAGAGGTCTATATAAGTTCCAGAGGGAATACCTCTGTTGCAGAGCTTTCGAAATCCTTGACTTCTGGGTCATTTTAAATTGGTGATTTAATTTCACGCATATGCATGCACAATAAAAACACCAAAACCGTCCTTTCTTCGTGACAAGCTGAAGAAACGAACACTCGACAGTAAGTATAGTTGGAGAGAGGATTTCACTGAGCTCTGTCATCTGTCCATCTTGTCATTTTGATGTTCATTTAATCAAATGAATCTGAATCTTGCAAAAGATTGCAGTTAAATTTTAGAACCACATTCAATGTTCCTGTTCGAGACTGCTTATGGACGCCAGGGCCAAAGGCCAATGGAAAACAAAGCATACGGTGTGACAGTAAACCGTCATTGGGATTTGCCTTGTCAGTGTTAGGGGGGCAGCTCACCTTAGCAAAGAGAAATATTAGAAACCTCCACCTTGTGTACGGGCGCCTCTTGTGGATTCTGGGTGAATCAAAATTCGTTCTGTTCAGACATTATCTAGAGATAATACGCATTTTAAAACCCAAGTGTAAACAATCAAAGGGACCGAACCTGCAAAACCTGTTAAGAAAACGATATCTTTACGGCTCGCTTGACAGAAATTAGTTTATTATGGGGATAATGACTGCCTGCTTATCTTGAATGAGGTCCTCTGTGTCCAGGAGATAAGATTTTTATTAAGAGACAAGCGCTTAATGTGTGAGTTTCGCTTTCAATGCGCTCAAGAATAACTGACTTTATCTACTCTATTAAGCTTTGTGTTCCAGGGGACTCGTGGGTGTTTTACTCTCTGCAAGACAAAAATTGCTGCGCAACCGTAAAACGTTTTCTAACAGTCCGGGTTTATCGACAGAACAGCTGTGGTTTTTATAACTATAAATCAGCGCCCAGCCTTAAAAAGAAAAAAAGCCCCTTCCGGAAGTAAATTAGTAGGCCTAATGATGAACTGCACCGATCCTGTTTGGACCTCTTGATTTTTCCAAGGTAGGCATAAACAAAAGGTCACCTTGAAGGATAGGAAGTATGTTTTAAGCATTAGGGCTATTTGAAACTGGCAATCAGTTACTTATGTGTACTAACCCCTGTAGGTAGGCTGTATAAAAAAGTTTAGCAGTCCTCCCGTGTCCGTCCATTACTCTGTTATAGACTAATCCATAAACGTTACGATTTATCCATATGTAGGCTACTACAAAACGAGCCCTCGATTTCCAAGCAGTTCCCAGGCACAAACGACGTGCCATATGATTACTGTGTATTGTCCCGGCAAGCGCTCCCCGCAGGCAGGCAGTGCGTGTCGCTTTTCTCCAGAGTAGATGGATGTCTCGGGCAGTAGCGCCAAATGATATATTAACGGCCGCAAACTACGTTCGCACACATACACACCGCACTGCAAAATTCTTAGCGATACGTGATTCATGACACTTTAAACATGCAGCATAAATCTATGCAGTTAACATTTGTCTTCGGAATAGACGCCTTAGTATAGATGTAACCCCGTGGCTTCAAGCTTCAAATGAGAGATTAAGACGTCAACTAGTTGAATACATCAGATGGATCAACCTATTGTGTCTCTCTCGTTATTTTATGTCCTTTATTTCCAGAGTTGTTCGTTTTTTTATTTATTTTTTGTTATAGATTGACCTATAACGACCCACATCCAGTATACATGTAAGTGTGTATTTGGTTATACTGATCAATCTATTATGTCTAACAACAATAAAAGATAATAGTCTAGTATATAATATAATAGTACAATACTGTATAATAGCATTGGGAATTCGCGTGTGACTGTGGTCATTTTTCAAAATCATAGCTGTGCGATAAAATAATCGCGTCAGCAGTCATAGAGACATCAGTTGACCAAACCAACATAGCGTGAACAAAACCGAACTGTTAAATCAATATGCGAAGCCACCCGAAATCAAAGGAGCTGGATGCTTCTCCGTTATATTTACGAGTCGACCTTTGCTCATCCGCGAAAAAGTGCATCTTCCTTCCACAGTCAGCATATGTAGGACTTCTTGGCTTGTGGAAAAGGCAAACCTTATATTGTAATAGCCAGCATGTAGGACTACTGCATGGCGCATATGAGATCTATAGGCAGAACTCTCTTTGCAATCTTGAGAAACGCTTACGGCGTATTTAGTGCACGACACCTGTTCACTGTTCCCAACCTCACTATAACAGATAATACGCACGCATCCAACTTTTGACGCGTGCCGTGCTTTGTGGATAATATTCCCGTTTTCAAAACTTGAATTTAGGTCATAATAATAAAGGATTTGAAGAAACACGTGGTCTAAAGATGCTTTATTTTCCCGGCACAGCGGGGCATTTGGCGGTCGTAATACTTCATATTGGTTTATGCTTCTTAAGTCATCTTGTTTCTGTCCAGAATGGGTGGTGTATCTGCGCATCTCTCCCGGTGTGTCAGTCGCCTGGTCCGTCGCAGCATCTCCACTGTCAGACCGCGATTACGGAGCTCCGCTGGCGACAGATCCGTGCAGCGAGGTGACACTCTGAGACTGAGAGCACAGCCAACGCCATACTCCTAATTTCGCTTTATAAAAATATCAAGTGCTTGCAATATGGCCATTTCGGATTAACTGCAGTTAACGATTGTTTTGTCCATAGCACTGCATTGTTTTCTGTGCAGATCTAAAAGCTGTCATGATTTTGGAGGGTATTGTGCATGACCATGGACGCCATTCTTAAAATCAGCTTTTCATTCAAGCGAGAATAAGCAGCAGCGGTTGGGACTGGCCAGGACACGAGGCACGAAACGTATGGAGCTTCTATCATGGAGTAAATGGAGGCGATTGACAGGCTGTGGGAGTGAGCGTACATGACGGGGGAGGGACAGCGGATAATGGTGGTCCACGGTGGGTTCGTGTGGTTTTATTGTGAGACCTGCGGAGGACGAAGCGTGACCATAAGTCAGAGGAAAGATAGCATAAGTGGCACGGTTTTGTAGGACAGGATTTACTCATGGATTGTATGGGTTCTACGGCTGGCTGGACAGTTGGGTACGAGAAAGCAGCTTCCAAACATAGATTGCCTTGGCGGGTCTTCGGCCCATTTTGAGTCCGGTGAAAGGAGCCCATTTGGATTGCGTCTCGAGCGATATGTGGTGGACATACAAACGATTTCGTATGCTGAGAAGGAATATATAGAAGTTCACAAAAGCGTGGGATTGTGTGAGCATTTCCGCGATGGCTTTACAGAACTCTGCTGGGACTTCTGGGGCTGGTAAATCGAAGCCTACTTTGATAGACCTGGGGACGTTTTTTGTGGACTCCGATATCATTTTTGGATTTACAAGCCATCTACTTAGACGTAAAGCAAAGGTGAGTTACCAGGTATAGCCGCAGATTAAAAATAGGCTAACTTTTAATGACACAGCAACGAGAAACTTTTAACCAAAATGTTAAAGGATCTGCACACTCCGTGAATATTGTGCGATGTCACCAATGAGTAGAAAGTCGTGTGTGATGCCAAAATCATCAATGAGCCAAACGCTAGACGTTCCAACATCACACATGTATGTTGGTGATATACATAGAAAAGACCGAACTTTCAGGACCACGAACAGCGCACATGCTGCTGAGTCTGTGAGTTCTTCGGCGGAGTCCAGTTCACTACTCACAGTACGCGGCGGACCTCGAGTAAGGTTGAATTTTGTGGAATATTCGGTCATTTGTATAATATGACACCTGAAATAGAATAGGAGCCAATGTACAGGACTATGAGAGAACCCCACCCCAAACGAGCTATCCTTAAAGTAAGGGAAGCCCTTAATCCGTAGCCACAATGTAGAATTTCTAAGATTTCTGAGACTGAGAAAATGCCCACGTCAGCTGCAGCCTCCGAACGGATCATAAAAAATAGTGAATCACCGTATAACGATGGACGTCGTGCTACATATAAATGAACACAATGGAATAATAAATAATTATAACGGGAAATTGCTATAAAATGTTGGGGGAAAAACTGCCCATTGTGATTTTGGCTCAATGGTGGTCATTAAGGATTAAGGATTATGATACAATGTTTCACACAGAAGTAATATGAAATATGCTGATTAGTGTCAGCATAGCAGGCGTAAGCACGCGTCTAGAAAATCATCTCCTACGTTTTAAAACTTGATAAAGATGCGACTTATACACCGAGCACATGTGCGCTTTCGGACGGGGACAGGCGAACAAAATAAATGATTTGATGCTTGTCGTCAAAATACGGGGTTTCAGTTTTTTTGGTGCCCGCAGACGTAGATAATGTGTGGACGCCCTCATAGGCACCAAGCCTGTGTTGAGCGTTTTAATTTTAATACGTTTATTCTGTAATATTTTCCCAAGTTCTTCGGGTGACCCTCTCATTGAGGTTAAAATGTTGAAGACCCAGTCCACAATGCCGGACACAACACATATTAGCTTGATTAGTTATATATTATAATACAGTTAAAACAATGCGTGCGCGTACATTCTGCGTGGCGTAATCAATAAAAACTCAAATACGGGACCTGCTTCTTACAGCTGGTTTTATTGTAACACTTTAAGTGTAATTCGTTACCAGTTGCGCCATGACGCGTAGTCTTTAACCGGCTGCGCAGACAAAATTGGGTTAGCCGAAGGAAAAATGAAATCCAATTTATATTGTAATACCAAAGATTATGTCTGTTATTCCTTACATCATCTACATTAAATATTTAAAATTGGTATAATTAAATATTTAAACTTAGCCGACATTTTTCATCCCAGGCAAACACTGTGCATTCTGCAAACTTACCAGAAGGTGGCACCAGAGTAACAAGAACGAAACATCTCGGTCGCTAACCGCGATTTTAGGTCTGTCCGCGGCGCCGCAACATCAAGCCCTTATATTGCAGCGTTTAGAAGTTCGGCGGAGTTATCTGATGTATTCTGGGCGCCATGTGTAACAGACAGACGCGAAACAGTTGCTCTTGCTTTTTTTGTAGCGATCGTATTTACGTGCTTGCCGGATGGTTTTCCAACTCTTTCTCTGACTCTTTTTTTATTGAGCTCCCGAGGTTTCAGACCATTCGGCGAAAGCTGTCGATAATCTGAGGCGTCTGTAAACCCAAAACTGTGGGTGTGGCGGAGTTACAATGCATCTCTTCGCCAGCAATACAAATTGAGCAAGGAAACGCTTGATTGAATGAGGGTGGGGAAACAAATACAATTGTCGGTTTTCTATATTACCGCTTAACGTTTTAATGTAACTTTAAGCATGTGGGCCTAATCAAGTTAACATCATAAAGTGTAATGCATTTTACTTGGGCAGCTTTAACCCGCAGGCTCTTTCACACGCCTTCCACCATCACACAGCACTGACTCGGTTGGTGCCAGCTGCACCCACGGCTGCCGATCCCGCGATCCCGCATTGTGCTGCTCACATCCCCGGCTTTCACTGCAGGGGATCCGCCCCAATCTCGCCGCAGAAAAACACAGCCAGTATTAACATCCTAACAGGTGGCGAAGCCTTTTTTGGCATCGCGCACGGCGCTCGACACCAATCGGAAAGGATTTCTGGGTTGATACGTTTCCGAGGCATGTTTGAGGTGCAAGCGCGCAACATATTGCATTAAAATGCATGCAATTACATTCGTGTTTTAATTCATCGCCTGTGCTTTTTCCCACACACACGCCTGACTGAATGGTTAATGTGTGGTTAAGTAATCCGGCACTAATCTCGCAAATACAGAATAGCACCAGAATCCAAATCAGAGTAGTGCAGGGGATTAAATGTAGTTTACCTTTATTCCAACACATGACCTGAACAGCCCTGTCCCGTAATGCTCCATTGGAAAGCTCCACCCATTCCTTTGACTAGAATAGTGCACACCACACAAACTCCAAGTTCAAACTTTACTCTCCTCTTAGCCGACATGGGTCTGAGCCAGCGCAAAGTTTTCCGAGGGGAATCTCAGGTTTCTATTCCACCGATTGCGGGCTGCGTCGCCTCGCCAGACCGCGAAAGCGAAATAAAAACCGTTTACACAGTTATGCATTAATCAGTGCGCGTCTTCTAAGCGGCTTCAAGGCAAAATCTCTGTTGTCCCCAAATAAACGCGGACAAATCAACGTGTCGCCAACCTGCCCGCTGTGATGTCCAGAGCAGAGAGGACGAGTGCAAGCTCGGGCAATGTTTCTCTTGGACGGGACCTCGATCATCGCAGGTTCACTGTAAGTGCTTGATTGGGCATGATTTCACGTTTAAGGCAGATTGCAGGACTCGGTGAGAAAGTTCAGTGCACCAACCTATACGCGCATAAAGATGAGGTCGAGCGTTGCAACATGATTTAAACATATCTGTCTGTAGCGTTGCGTGCTTTACACCCGCAAATATGTTACTTCATCTATCGGTTCTACCGTTTAAATTAAACATTAAAGCGTCCCATTCCAGCGCTATCGGTTCACTCTTTTCCCCTCTTCTCTTAAGGTTGATGGCTGTCCTAGCAGAGAGTCCCCGTTCGCTTTGGAGCTCAGTCCGAGGAAGAGGCTGCCTTCGGCGGAGGGTGCTCAGTGCGGCAGGCGCCCACCCCCGGAGGGCGCCGGCGCTGTCACCGTGTCGGAGTCGGGCCAGTTCGAGAGAAGAGAAGGGAAGGGCAACTTGTGCAAGCAATGTCAGCTGAAAGTCACGGAACTGAAAAGACAAGCTCTCTCCTTAGCCGACCCCGGGTCACTAAAGGTTTGTAAATCTCAATTAGTTGAGCAATTATAAAGTTTCCCGTGCACATTAGAGCAACGCATTTTGATCGATAGTGGTGACGTTGATGTATTGCGCATTACTTACCCAATTTCACACGTGTGATTTAGTTCAACTCCTGCGTCAACACTGAACACTGGGTTGGGGTTGTTTGTGGTCACTCATGTTAGAGGGGGAAGCATGACATTTTTTTTTTTTTTAAATGAAGTCCAATGATTACCCGTCAAAGGGGATTTCAGAAGCAGGTGATGAATGGGACTGTCGACCATACCTGGCCGAGGCAGTCTGACAGGCTTCTCTGGGAGTTAATCGTGCCAGGAGGGAGCCTGTCCTCGTGTGACAGTGATTGCCCCATCCCTGCAGCATGAAGCCACAACTCGGGCTGCTTTCTCAAAACTGCCTGCGTGTGTGCGGGGTGGGGTGGGGTGGGGGTATCGTCTTACTTTGGCAGTCAACTGCTCTGTAATTCGTTCAACAGGAATCAGCAGATGATTTAATGGTAGACAGGCTAAAAATTGCCGCAGGCAATGAGCAACTGTACTTACCCTGTACTTTCACCTGCACTGTAGTAATGCTAGATCCTCTATTACATTGCAGCTGTAACACTGTTTTAAGGGCATCTGACTTGTGCATGAGCATTATGGTGCAGTTGCTGAATGTCCTGTGTCATGCTGTTCGATGCCTCGTATTTAGCTCTGTTAAACCTGACTTCTGTATAGGGTGACCACCGTGAGGAGAGGGGGACACTATGAGCTACTTCAGGTTTTACAAACTACTGTGAAACTGAAAGGCTCCTTGGCTAATTAGTTCCATTCTTCATGTACTTGTTTGTTTCCTTCACTGAAAGACTCATCGGGCTGTTTCACATTAACATTAGTGACACATGCATGATTATAGGAGACTGACCAATCAGCACACAGCAAGAACTCGGCGCTAAAGTAAAAATCCAGGTCTTTTTAGTTGAAGTGGTAGTTTCCTTGTGACATGGACTAGTTGCTCACCTTGCTTTTGTAGTGGGATTAACCCCCTGGCTTCCCCCCCTTGTGCTTGGGGGGGTCGAGGTTGGTGCTGTGGACAGGGGAAGGACTCAGGGATGCAATGCATTGTGGGACTCTTTGCCCCTGAATCCTCATTGCATGCCATCAATACACTGTGTTTATGTGAAATACAACTATAAAAACTATACAAGCAGCCGAGAAAAACATTCCAATCACAAAATGAAGCTTTAGAGAGAAATTTTGTGGTTGAGATCAAAGGCTATTGGAAAACAGCATCTGTGGGTTTTTGCCACAATACAGAACATGAGAAATGTCACTTTGTCTCAAGTTTTGAATAGACACGCCCACTCACTATGGATCGTGGGTGCTGATTGGGTGGCCTGTTTTCTCATGCTGGTCTTTGCTTTGGAAGTGGGAGGGTGTCGGGTCAAGTTAAAGTTTGGAGAATATGCAGTGGGGGGGCTTCATATGGCTGGCTTGGCCACCGGCTGTTTGCATTTAGATGTGGGATATAGCGCTCAGCAAGGGTAGAGTCCCAACATTCACAACAGTTTAATGGATACTGAAAAGCCAATCAGATGCTTTAGTTCAATACCGTGTCAGCCTCTGCTACCATAGCAGTGGTGGGTGGGTTGGGGGGGGGTTCGGGTCTTGCCAGGTGCTCTGCTGAGGGTGGGGGGTTGGCATCCCCAGGAAACCAGGGTGTCCAAGGTCCTACTGAATTAGCGCCAAGCTCAAAAAAGCAAAATTTCCTCGACAGACGTGTTGGAGGAGATTGCAAAGAGAAAAACATCCACCTACATGCCCCATCCCCCAGCCGGAGGGTGACATCACCTCATTGTATGTTAAACTCCCCCACCCCAGCCCTGTGAAGTTAGTTTTCTCTCAGCATACGATCCACCGCTTCCAAACAACATGAAAGGTTGCGTCTGGGAGTCCGAATGGGCTCTGGACGCAGCCCATTGTTCAGGAAAACAATGCTTATCGTGGCTGTTGTGCGACGTGGCCGACCTACGGCCGGCGGCGGGAAGTCGAACCCGGCTGACCTTCACGGCCATTGACAGTGTTCCTGTCCGCCGCGCTCCCCCCATTCCCATTCCCAGAGGCGTTAAATATAGTCCTCGGCCTTTTAATTGTTGTCGCTGCCTGCACTGACTCGAGTTTTTTCTTTTTTAAGATTACTTTCTGTCCATCTTTTGTTGTCAGTTTCGAGGGGAAAGTCCCACGATTACCGACGGGTCGGTTTCACGAGCCCTGGCCGCACGGCCCCGCTGGTTCAATGGGGGGGGTCGGCTCAGCCATTGTGCGGCCTCTATTGCAGAGGTATATCTATGATCATACAATGGCCGACTCTTCATAGGGGTGGGGGGGCAGCGCCTGTCTACAGACACGCGCCATGGTAACGGAGGCTAAGCTTTCAGCCGTCCCCAGGTGTTCTGCTGTGGGCCCCGCCACTGAACCCCCCCCCCCTCAGACACACACTCACTCAGAATGTGTGGTCCTTCTTGGGGTGGGGGGTCTGCTTTTTTTTATTAGGTGCTCGCTGACGGGTAAATTGGGTCTAATTTGGGGGCTTGTGGGGGGTGACCAGCCATTGGATGGCTTTGTGCTCTGGGGGGGGGGGGGATCAGTTTCTCCAGCAGAAAGGGGACACTGTCCCCACGAGGGTCTCCCGCATACCTGTCAGCGCTGAGCCGGTGTCATGCCAGGGTAAGTCTCCACCTGCCGGGACTGGATTGTTAGGCCGGGCGATTTGTCTTCCTGAATGTGTGGAGATGTTCTCCACACACCTGGATGTTCTCCGCACACCTGGATGTTCTCAGGGTCAGTGTGAGAGAAGGTAGGAAGTGCTGGTCCCTTGATGAGGGATTTCTTTCTGGCTCTGGTACACCTGATGTCCAGAGTATGGTACTGATTGTCCTAGAGCAGTGTCTCCCGATCTGAGACCATGGGGACCCACAGACAGTCCACGTTTTGCTTGGGAGCTGGGAGGGAGCGAAAACATGGACCGCCTGTGGGTCCTAAAACACTGACCTAGAGGGTCTGTGTTCTATGCTGCTGCTTCCAGGTTCAGGACATCATCTCCTGAACCTCACTGCGCCGGAAAGGCTCCTTTGTGCTGTTCATCCCCATGTCTGCTGGACACGGCTTCAGTGTGCAGTGGCTAAGAGGAGCTTGTCTGTGAAGATGCCTTTTAGTGCAGGAGCTCTATGTCAGTCGTGTGGCGTCTAAACCAGGTGCCTGAGAGGATCCAACCGTGAGACCTTCTGGCTCTGTAAAGACATGGGTCCTCACTGGAACAGACTAAAGCCTTCCGTGTGGTCTGCCCCAGCGGGAACCTTCAAAGGTGACAGCTGCCCTGTCTGCACACAGCCTTGCTTTGACAGTGCGTCCCCTGGATCCTTCCTCCCCACTCTATCCTTTATTTTATCTTTTTCTCGAGCTGACATTACCAGCGCCAGGCCGTGCCGCTGTGGCGAGTGTCAGCAGCCCCTCGGATCTCTTACCCGACGCGATGCCCTCGTCATGGATGCCCCGGCTGGGGAGGACGGCCTGACAGCAGGCTGAGCCTCCAAGGAGAGATACGGGCGTGGCGTCTGAGAAATCCCCCCCCCCATCTTGCCTCCCCCAAGATCCTGTCATGCAATTAACATGAAATGGTAAACAAAAATCGCACCTCCATCGCATCCTGGATTACAGTTTGGGGGGGGTGCGGCGGTCGATCGTGGGCTGGGACTCCCCCCCCCCCCCCCCCCCCCCGAAAGATGATCGCCTTCTGGGGTGATTCCAGGTTCAGACCATGTCATCTAATTTCTGTAATAATCGCGGGATCTTTCAACAAAAGCAGAAAGTCTACCCACCTGCCTCCAGCTACCTTTAATTAATGCCCCCCCCTGACCACTTTCCTCAAAGGACTTCAGTAAAAGAGCTATTTTGTGGTTCCTCTGTTTGGCGGATTTGGGGGGAGGGCGGCCTGTCAGGTATCCCGTGAAGAGGCCTGAAGTGCCTGTCAGCCATGAACAATCGGCCATAAACCTCAGACTGCAGGCGGCCGGCAGGCCAGTCGGTCGCTGTCTGCGGCGGGGCCCCCGTCACCTGACACCGCCGCCGCCGCCAAGGCCGGCCTTCCTCCGGCCTACCTCCACTTGTCATCCCAAAGCCTGGAAAAAGAAAAAAAAAAGAAAAAGCTTTTAGCGGTGAAAACAAAGCAGGCCTTTGTGCTGGAAACGACGGTCTGATTGCTCAGGTGTCTTCCCCTTGTTTCGCAGAGGAAGCCGCCCTGAGATATTACCCCCGAATCAAGTGGCCAATTTACACTGGGGCTCAAACACTCTCATGGGCAGAATTTGTCCGTTTCGTGTCGAGTCACCAGCCTGGTGGAGGTGATGCAGCATGAATGCTGGTTTTATGTAGATCCGGCTGGAGGTGCTGAGCTGGTCCAGACTATAAAAGGTTCTGGGAAAGGTGCCCCCCCCCTCCCCCCCCACACCCGAATGATAAGGCTGGCACGTTTATTTTGGTGTCTGTGTGGAAGTCTGGCTCTAATGCAGAAGATTCTGGAAACACTCTGAAAGGCCGTCGGCCTGTCTACCCCCCCCTGCCCCCGCCCCCCGTAGCCCAGAGAGTATGGGGGTGTCTGTGGGGGTGCGCAGGCAGCTGAGGGTGTGTGTCAGGGTGTGTTTTTCTAACCTCTTGGGGACGTGTCCCCCAGAATATCTTCATAAGATTGCAAAAACAAGGCAAACGGGGTTAGGAAAAGAATTATCCCACAAGAGTAGCAAACCCTAAAGAAACAGACCTTGTGACTGACACAGCACAGTGTCCTTCATGAATGGACAGAGCTGCTCGTTTAGTAACTTTTCGAGTGAGTTGCTGCGGAGTCAGGAATGGTGTCGCCAACAGAATGCTAATGTACGTGTGTCTCTGGCCGTCTCTGCCTATCGCTCAAGATTTTTCCAGACTTTTTTGTGACTGCCATGTTTA